TCTCCATTGGTTACTTGTACATCCGCAAGAGGGCGTATCGCTTATTTTGAATCGCCTATCTACACTTGCCGCCAATTATGACTATGATACGTCAATCAGTTCCAAAGTACTGGGCACCAATGATTTTTCTACTTTCCAATAAAACACCCAGTAACTCAGACAGGAGACACATTGTATCTATGTGATTTGGGCTATATCTTCATATTTTGAGCTCATGATTCTATAATTGAAATATTTCTAATTAGTAATTAAACACGGGCTACTTTGCACTGAATCGAAATGACCAGTTTATAATGTCTTTTTGTCTAAGTATCTGAAATTTGCCTCTTAATAATTTTTGGAGTTGGGTAGAACAAATCACTTTTTTTCACTAGAATTATCTCCTGCAAGCAAGTTAAATCAGGACTACTACTGTCCCAATTTGGGACAGTAGTCCAAAATGAATCTAGTGCGTAGGTGGTAAGTGCGCAATGAAAATTGCTGCAATTTTTTGCAAAATTGAAGACTAAAGCGGCTTAAATAATAATCCACCAGGGATGTTAGTTTGACTCTTGACTAGAGAGATTTTGACGTTCACAATACTGATGTAACTTTACCGATTTTCTGGGATTTCAGACGATATTATTCTTCAATTTGACTGCTTTCTTGTGTAGGAATAGATATATTTCATGACTTGGGACCTGATTGTCGAATTTATTCCTATATTCAAACAAAAGTCTCGCTCTAATGGTCTCCAGTGATATACTTTCATTATTCCCATAGGAATTTTATTTAAAAAAGTCGAAAATTTGGCCCTTGATGTGTAAATAGCTGAATAAATAACTCTTTGAATTTGTTTATCATGTTTTGTGGGGAAGAACAGATATATGTTTGATGATTGTTGCACAATGGGAGGAAATATTGAATGGCATTTCTGTAAAGGTTTGGTAGTCTGTACTGGTACTTGGTGTGGTTCAAGAAATTACAATTTTTTTTTATACAATACTTAATGAAAAGGAACTCTTTGGAATGAATGTTTGGTGCACATATGGAAAACTCTCTGGTATAACAAATTCGCTTTTCACCATCTGAGTCTCGTAAATCATGAGAGTTATGTAGTTGGTAGAAAACGTAGTTGGCTAGTTTCAGAGATTTTTGAAAAAACCTATATTCCGAAAATTCTTCAAAACTTGTTCCTGACTTCATTTGAGAAGGTAATTCCAAACAAATGGAATCCAGATTCCTATTGTCACTATTGCTCAACTGCAAGATGTCAGCTCAATTTTCTATATGATATCCAGTTTTTCGCTTTTTGAAATTTCCCCATCATTTTTTATTAATGATCATTCATCAGGTGATTGAATTTGAAACCGAGTTGGAATTGTAAATAACAAAGCCTTCACTAAAACATAAGAGCTGAAGGCCTCTTGTAAGGACAATGATCAGTTGGTGTGTATACACGGACCAACAAAATACCGGTAAGTACTACTAGTCCTACAACTACTCTTTGAATTTTGGATTGGTAATAATCCATTTTCAATGAAATTGTCAATTCTATCGTCTGAAAGTCACAATTGGGAAAATTACAGTAAGTCGAAAAAAACTGTCTTACCTTTATGTATTTGGATATAAGGCAAACACTTACTTAACTTCAGTCTTTATGTAGATTGCTGAAAAAACAACTAGATTTTTCATCTAATCATTAAGTTGATGACTCATTTTTGTTTTCGAAATCAATATTTGTTATTGTAAATATCAAATAGAATGTAGTGTCGTATAGCCCACATTCTTAGAACAGGATTTTCTATAATCTATGATTGTCGATAGTATGGATGCATACTTTATCTATATGAATTGAAAGATATTGTGTCCTGAATGTAGTGATGAACAAACAGTCATAATATTTGTATATATTCATATTTTATATTAAATTAGATTAATTATATATGGTACTTCCTTTATTATTTCCATTTGATGCTCAGGCAAGATTATATTTTTTTAGAATCCCGACAAGTTCTTTGCCTTGATATTGTTTGTCTAGTGATGCACTAGTGATTTCGTTTAAGTTTTCCTTCTTGAAGAAAATCCTGCTGAATATCTATTTCATTTGGGTTCTTACCAGAGACATGGTGTGTCAGTTTCGCGTACTAAAATCGTCCAACTACGCGCATGACGTCACTTTGGTCGCAGAATCATGTAGGAAACAAGTTTGAGGAGTGTACATACAGGGCTATAATATTGTTGATTTGATTGTGCATGTTGAATTTTGATAAAATAGGTCAGAAATTGTCTGTCAATTTCAGTTTTCCTTAGGTCCAGAAAGAACTGCTAATAATTGAAGTCTCCAGAAGATTGGTCAATAACTAACACAAATTATGTGTACAGTAACCTCAATATACAGGGTGATTCATTAAGAATGGGCAATCTCTGAACCACATAGTAAACACTAAAATATGCAGATTCAGCCCAGTATGCCTTATGAAAATATAGCTCACGGGAAAAAATATTTAAAAATTACTCAGTAATTTCAATCGAAAGAGAGTGTGAATTTTTTATTTAACATTTTACGGGCTCTCAGATTTTCAACTTATTTTAAACATTTTTCAATAGAAAAATAAGATATAGAGTTTACTGAAGTAACACAGGGCCGCACTAGCGCCCTCTATGAGACAATAAACCTAAAACTAAAATTTGTATGTTCATGCTGGTAAAAATCGAAAAGTTGAAGCATGTTAGGCTAAATATTCATATTTTGATGTTAACTATCTGAAGTTTCTCTCTACTAATTTTATAACCACTTGGTACATCGCAACGAAATTTGGAGGGCTCAATGATAGGAGATGAAAAGCTACTTTTTCATGAAAAAACGACAGCTCAAAGTTTTAAAATTGCGGCTGAGCGCCATCTTGAATTATTTTTTTTTAATGGAACACTACCTATGATATTCCATTTTCTAAATCTCCCCATAATTCTTAACAGTTTCATCTAATAGATTTCACTCCTAAATTAAATTGTTTTCGAAATATTAAAGTTTGAATAGTGAAATTTCGATCATTTAAAACCCAAACAAAAACTCGAATGATGTCACCGCTACAACGTAGTTTTTTTTTTTTCAGTGCAAACTTATTGATTTAGGAGTGAAGAGTATTAGATGAAACTGTTAAGAACTATGGGGAGTTTCCAAAAATCGAATAATTTACGAAGTGTTCTATTTAAAAATGTAATTCAAAATGGCGCCCTGCTGCCATTTCAAAATCTCAAGCCCTCCAAATTTCGTTGCGATATACGAGATAGTTCAAAAATTAGTAGGGGGAACAGACGGACACTGTATGGAGAAAGAAAAGCAATAAAATTAAGTTCCACCCTCATTCGGAATATTTATGTAAACAATAGTGTATATTAGGAATATAACAACCTGCGAACAGACTGACGTCACTTTGAGATGCATATTGATGAGGATGTGTGATTATATCATGTCTCTGTGAATCGTACCGTTAATAATAATGGATCACTGTGTATATTATCTAGTAATTTGTCTATTCCTATATTATATTAGAAACTAGATTATTCATTATTTAGGTGTTTATGTTACAATGTTCATATACAATGTGTCACCAACAGTTGTGGCTTACTTTTTCACCGTTTTTTTCTTGAAGAATACATTTCTCAAATGGTTCACTATTTTTTCAATTACCACAATTAATTGACATATATTTACAATTCTATGAAATGAGGTCGAAAAGTGCGGGTAAGAATAGTTGGTGGGTCACACACTTTACATGGACATATTATTGAATAATTATTTCATCAACAAGTGGTCTCTATTTGGTTGATAGAATGAATCAAATTATTATAAAACAAGTAGCTCAAACATGAACTATTATTCAATAAGATCAAGATTTGTTATTTGTGAAATTACCAATATTGATGCAGTATCCATCTTCATGAATATAAAAAGAACAGTAATTTCTTGAGCCTATTGATTGTGCATGTACATTTTGTCTGTAGAATTCAGATAATTATACCATCATTATTATGATAATTTTTACATAAAAAACATAAATCTTCTACTTGGTATAAACATTCGTGTTAAATCTGAGATGTATTCAAAGATGTCAACAAAACGAAATTCAAATCCATATTATGGCAGATTATTTTTATACTGAGTGATGTTCTCTTCAAAATGAACATCACTGATTTCATTTTATTTATTATTCTTTTATTTTAGTTTGGAATAATCGTAAATTAGATTACGTACGACATGACGTACGAATTTCTCTAGTGAAGTTGGTTTTGTATACGCAGACATCAAAAGAATTTGTACTATATTTTTCGCTTACCCACAAATGTTTAGATTTGTACATTTAACAAATTTTTATCATCATGTGTTGGAACTTTTGGGTCAACTAATAATCATATTGATGCAGTACGATTGTTTAGTTTTCCTACACATTTTATACAAGATTGTACAAAAGTATATTGGTAGAATATACATTCAATCTCGGTCTTATTGTTTTTTTCAATAACTGCCATGATTTTATTTGTAATTGTTAAAACTTCGGGTCGATTCTCATCCATCTACTTTCCAACTTTTGTTAGACTTGATTCTCCAACAATCTCATCATACAGGTGGTAAAAAAAATAGCACCGATAAGGACGAATAATAATCGAAAATTATTGATCTGATCAATAAAGTGACCAGAAGTGGTATTGTTGGCATTATATTCACTTTCAATTCCGTGCCTTCAACTGAATCGGATCTAGAATAAAACTTCTCATGATAATTGTGTTTTCCACTTGAAAATCAACTTTGTAATAAAAATGATATTATCTTTATTAGGCAATTCGCCATTCAAATAATTCAGGCAATTATTATTGTTATATGGTGATTGTATATGACACAAAACACATAAATTGTCGGAAACTATATAGTGCAGGTCTGATCCTATTTATTCAATGATATACATTTTCATGGAAATAATTGTAAAATTCAAGAGTAACAAGTTTACTATTTCCCAATTATTACTTTATTATACAAATTGATTGATGCCTTCAATTTTATAAAAGTTATAGATGTGGAATAGTATTCTGAAAGACGTGAAAATGTTAACAGTTACCGTTATATTCACTGTGAGTATTACGTCGAAAAAGACTTATTACTTATTCTAAAAGAAAATCATAGGCTATCAACCACGTGTGTCAAGTTGAAGTATGAGTGAACATTTTGAGAAATTTATTTCATCAAAAATAGTAATCTATTATACAAGGGGAAAAAGTTGTGGATTTTAACTCCAGGTTGTGTTGACAAATTTTTTTTCTGTGACAGGAAAAAGGACGAATCAGTATGGAGAAAATATTGCATTATATTAAAATCAGAAAATTATCGACGTGAAATTTGAAGGTTTCAACAGGAATTATACTGGTGTTTTATCTTCATCTTCATCATTCTTTTGAAGATTGATCTGTCAGTCTAATTCTGTGTTTTGATTTTGAGAAATTGCGAACTTAGTGGCTGTTACTACGTAACCGCGAAGTGGGATAGAAGATAAAAGTACTTTCATTATTTTTTCGGAGACGGTGTTATTGGTTTATTTTTCGGAAGTGGCACAAAAAAAGCCATCAATAGTGCACTCATATATCCGGGAAAAAAATACTCACTTTTTTCCCGTGGGAAAAAAGTAAATTATGAAAAGTGACATTTTTTAACCTGTCAACAGAGATAAAATGTCTGACTTTTTTCCCGTCACAGAAGAAACAAATATAAAATTCTAAACTATGATATTTTCAAGAAGTGTTTTTTTTTTGTTGAAAGGATTGATACTTCTTGTACAGAATAAAATTATCTTATCAGCTCGAGAGCTTTCCAAAAACACCTGAGAAATATAATATCCAGATATTTCGATCTAGTTCTCTATAATCTTGTCTCTAACTATATTTCTCTGCAAAATACCAGGGAACTTGAAAAAAGTCTGAGCTTAATCGAAATCAATAGGCATTCAGAAAAGAATCACTTGTATCAGTATTCGTTTATACGAGTCGATGTTCTGCGTATGGCATTAGCCAGGAAAGTAGTTGTTTTTCTCCCGAAATCTACCATTGTTATTGTTGTCCATTTTCTGAACATTGTGTGGAAATGACTGAACTTTTTGTATTTATTTAACATTTCATTCCACTTATTTGAGCATTGTGGCAATTTCGTAGTTGCCATGTCATCGTTTCAATCTTTCACCTCATTATATTTTTGTTATTCGAAATATTATTGTGGCGCATGCAAAGTAAGGGCGTCGAATATCTTATTGTTTCAATCACAGTATGCACGGTGTGCATCCTTCACTTTTTTTTATCGCTTGGAGCGCATGAAAGGAAATCCCAATAATGTTCAAAGAACATCGTGCGTTCCTAGGGAGGATAGGGACATGAGGTAGGTATTGGAATTTTTTTTGAACTTCTGGAGATTATATGTTGTTGGGAATACTTCGAACATTATAGGAATTCCATATCGTGCGCTCCAAGTGATAATAGAAAGAGGTTATGTGGGGAAGAGAAAAAAAAACCTATCCACATACTTGCAGAATGTTTCACCCTACACAGAACCCAAGGGCAAAAAACCTACTTAACTTTTTTAGAATCACCCCACAATATACAGGGTGTCCCGAAATAAGCCTGCCAAACTTCACCAGCGGCTTCTTCGACCAAAAAGAGAAAGAAAAGTTTCAATGAACATGAGTCTAGAAATGTCTCCTAAGGGAGCTACACGGCTCCTGAAGATGATATTTCTTGAATATTTCCGAAACGTCACGTGATAAAATGATGCAATTCGGTACAAGAACTAAACTCACCATGCCCAATGCGGTGAACATAAAATAATTTCAGAGTTCCATTCAGGAGTGTATAATACAGAGGAGTGGGACTACATTAAATATTGCTCAAACTTTTCCGTATGCATATTTTTGGACAATTCAATCTCGGATTATGAAAATTCACACCATTTCACAAAAAAAGATGCTCTTGTTCCGCATCGATCAGATGTATCATCTTCGAAAAAAATCGATCTAAAAATATTGATACACTCACATCTTATGCATAACGTAGCCAATTCTCAAATAATAGTGGCTTTAAAAAAATCAAGTACTTTCTTTTTACCAAACAATCTCATAAAGGCTCGAAAAATATGAAAATAATGATGAAACGACTGCTTCAATTTTTGTGCATTATTTTCCATTTTAACTAGGCCTCATTGCAATCTTAGGCATGATATATTTTTTTTTTATCGATTGGAGCGCACGAAAGGGAATCCCTATAATGTAACAATATTTTTAAATTACTTTTACTCGATAATAGTACATCTGATCGTCACGGAACAAGATCTTGTCGAGTACCTTTTTTCTGTAAATAGGTGTGAAATTTCATAATCAGAGATTGAATATGCATACAAAGAATTTTGAGCAATATTTAATGTAGTCCCACCCTGTATTATACACTCCTGAATGAAATTTTGGAATAATTTCATTTTCACTGCATTCGGCATGAAAATTTTAGTTCTTGTACCAAATTACATCTTTTTATTACATGGAGTTTCGGAAATATTCAAGAAATATCATCTTCAGGAGCCCCCTTTCAGGGGGCCGTAGCTCCCTCAGAAGACATTTCTCGACTCATGTTCATTGAAAGTTTCCTTTTCATTTTTGGTAGTAAAAGCCGCTGGTGAAGTTTGGCAGGCTAATTTCGGGACACCCTGTATATATCCTGAAATTTCTGATTGTTATACAGGGTGTCCCAAAATTGCTGGGACACAGAGCTACCACGTGTATAGAGGAGGTCAAAATAAGTTGATTGGACCCAATTTATTTATGTGCCAAAATGTACCGTTTGTCCGTGAGACGGGTTCAAAGTTCACATAAAAAATTTATTTATCGAAACTTTTGGTTGAGCCGATAGGATTGCCAGTTCGCCTTAATGGTGCTAGCTACCTTAACTTTCTTCAATGTTCATCGAAACATGGTCTTCATGCACGACGATGCACCACCTCATTTTGCACGTGCAGTAAGATAATATCTGAACGAGCAATTCCCTGATAGATGGATTGGTAGGGGACAAGAAGCATCTATTCAATGGCCTCCGCGGTCTCCAGATTTGAATCCGTGCGACTTCTTCATCTGGGGGGCGTGTGTATGAAGTTCGAATTGATACTTCCGAACAGCTGTGGAACAGAATCCAAAATGCCGTTGACGCACTACGAGACAACGACGATGTCCTGAGGAGGATGCATTTAAATTTTGTACGTCGAATTGATATTATTTGTATTAATGAAGGGCGTCATATTGAACATTTATTATAAAGAAACGTTCTGTTTCTACTGCCAACTTAGTTTTATATCTGGGAGAAATTTTTTTTTTCTTCGAAGAAACTATGCAGTATACAAAATTTTTACAAGAATAATAAAATGAAGGTTTTTGATTAGTCTTCAAGTTCAAAAAATTTCAGAACCGTATTATGACCCCTAAAGAAGTTCTGAAAAAAATGTCAGGGGGTGAGGGTGGTTTTAACCCTTCTACAATTTCTTTTTGGTTTCTTCTATTACCAAAAGGAAAGTAATCCTCTGAAATACACTATTGCCAAATTTCAGCGAATTCGTCCCACTTATTTCTGTAACAGCGTACAAAAATGTGTTTTTTTGTGTGCACTTTGAACCCTTCTCACGGACAAACGGTACATTTTGGCACATAAATTAATTGGGTCCAATCAACTTATTTTGACCTCCTCTCCATGTGGTAGCTTTGTGTCCCAGCAATTTTGGAACACCCTATAACTAATGGAATTGCTATAGCCACGGAGACTACGGAGAGCATAATAGATCATTTAGGTCGCAGTGTTCTCAGGTTCGTTGGTATTTTTAATGAATGGGGAAATACACTAACCGGCAAAAAAAACCGGCCACCAAAAAATGTTCCGAAATTGTTCACCCTGTAACTTATTTAATCATTGTCCGATTTTAGTGGAATTTCGATCAATTTGTAGATACATGTTCCGAAAGATTAGCCTGAATATTAGTTTTTGTGAAAAGCTGATATACATGGAAAAACCAAAGTTGTTTATAACACCCTGTGGCGTAATCGAGTGGTTGAACTTGGCTTCACTATGCTTTGAATTGAAGTGGCATCTCTTCTCAACACAATAGTTTCTCATTCACGTCAATATCTTATTTTTAAGAGAAGATACGAGTGTTTTTAGAAAGTATGGCATGTTTCAATATTTATCAAAAATAATCAGAACCTAGATAAACTTATAGATTAACTACTCAAAGAATCAATATCACTTATTTCTACATCATTTTCTTAGCACTTACCGAAAAAAACCAAACAAACAAAAGGCAGACCTGTAGTCAATAACGAGTATGCCGTCCTCAAGTTTGAATTGAAGCATTCAACCGCCGTGGCATCGGGTTGATCAAATTTCTCGAGTAGTCTTGAAGAATTGCCTAGTATTCTTCATGAAGGGCGAATCGTAGCTCTTGAAGAGTCTCTGACAAGGCCAAACGAAGGCGAATGAGCATTTGAATGATCGTAAATGAAAATTAAAAAATTACATATTTTCTTGAAACACTTGTATCTTCTCTTTGAGAGAAGATATTGACGTGAATCAAGAACCATTGTGTCAAGAAGGGACGAATCACACTTCAATTCAAAACATGATTTATCAACATGTTGGAAAATGGTTGGAGAAGTATTGTTAATGAAAATTTGAAAAACATACTTTCTTGAAACACTTGTATCTCATCGTCAAAAAAAGGTTATCGACGTTAATCAAACACCATATAGTGTAAACAAGACATCACACTCCATTCCAAAACATAATGAAGATGAGCTTTTCTTGGGACCTACTATTCAGGGTATGATTCTGATACATGAGTATACGATTTGGCCATAGTTTCACAAAAATCGGACAAGAATTAAAAAAGTTACAGGGCGGACGATTTGGCAAATTTTTGTGATGGCGGTTTTTTCTTGCCGGTGAGTGTATTTGAAATATGCTCATCAACTGGATGAAGTAAAAACACAAATTATATTCTTGCAGTTCTTGGTTTTCACCAACTTTAGTGACGCTCTGTACTTGGATTCTACTACAGAGATATGTAAGAATACGAGTGTACGATGCCTTTCAAACAACACTTACATAACGTGCGTAAATGCTGGTGCTTTTACAGTTCTTCTGAACACTCAGTTGACATGCCCAGAGGGTTACATTTGTGATGACTCGGTGTTATCACATCCGTAAGTATTAATTCTCATTTTTATTCTTCTCAGTTATCACACTTGGATAGGATTCTAAACTGTTCGGATGTTGAATATTATCAATTAATTAATTAATTAATAAGGTAGGAAGGAGATACGATAATTCGTTTGAATGGGAATAATTCTCATTCACACGGTTATTCAAACTGCTTCCGTAAATTTTCAAAATGATTTCTAGTTTTTGGAAAAATTGAATTTTCATTATTTATACAGGATGTTTCACAGGTAAAGGGAAAAATTTCAATGTTAGATAAGGGTCACCAAAGTGGTTCTGAAAATACCATATTTGATGAGTCTCAGTCTTTATAACGGAGTTACAAAGTGAATTATCGATTTCGTATATAATAATTCATTCGCCCATATAAGTATTAAACTACCTCGTGTGGTGGTCGACGAGGCAAATAGCAAGGAAAGTAGTTGTTTTCTGTTGAATATTCAGAATTATATTATGTGCATATACATACATATTTTTATCTAAGGAGAATGCATAAATTCCCAACTTCAGAAGATTTTAATTTCAAATTCTTTTCGTTTGTGTTTAATATATATAATTCAATATTGGTCGTGGCATATAGCCAGGAAAGTATAGTTGTTTTCTGTTGAAAAAACCGAGGAAGAATTGATATTTCCATCACATAGAGAATGCGAATTCAATGTATATTTCTTAATATATACATTTATCTATTTTTTCATGTTCATAATTTATCCGAGAATATTATTCCTTTTCAAGTTCTGTTTATAAGTTGAACAAACAACAGAAAATATCTTACGCACTAGCATTTATTCATAATTTTTATTCCTTCAAATTAACATAATTCCATTATTCTGCTTCAAAATGTTACCATTAGAATTGGTAGCAGTAAATACGAGAAGTATCTAATCTAAGTTAGTAAATTATTCAACTATAGTCCCAGTCAACACACGGACATTCGATGGACATCCATTGGACGTCCATTTAGGATATTTGGGATATCCAGAGAATATCCAGTGATATCCGATGTATATCTTATGGACGTCCAATGGACGTGCCGAGTGGAAGGAGTTGGACTTCTATAGGATATCCTTCAGGGACATCCATAAGACATTTTTCAGGGATATCCATAAGATATTGTTCACAAATATCCATAAGACATTTTTCAGGGATATCCATAAGATATTGTTCACAAATATCCATGAGATATTTTTCAGGGATATTTACTAAATATCCTCAACAATATAGAACACCATGTATATTATTCCATAATGAATTAGGAACTATTATAACGAATTCAACGGTACCGGATTGGATAGGGTTATTTCAAACGATTACGAAGATATTTGCATTTGAAGTTTTCATATATGCTCATTGAGGATATGGAAATGTGAATATCCTCCTAATCGTTTGTAGAAATCCTATCAAACACAGTATGGTTGAATTCGTTATGATAATCCTTAACCGATTATGGAATAAAATACAGGGTGTCCCGTTTGAAAATGCCATCCTCGGTTAAAGTGCCAGTTATGAAGCAAACATGTAGGTACATACAACACAAATAAATAGTTGATCTTTGTGACATTTATTTGAAAAGTACAACTACCAAGGACAGGTTTGACATTTCCAGAAAAGAAGTTGCTCGTCCACCCTGTTTGTGATAGGAAAATTGAGAATATTCATTATGTTTCATATAACTGGTCTCTTAATTTTTTTCTTAAAACAGGGCATCTCATCTATAGGAATACTGATTGTATTAGTCCCTTTGTTGATTGCTTTTTGTGTCAACCAAGCATATTTATATCTCTGGAAGATCCCACATTCTTCCTGAAAACAATGATATAGAGTTGAGTTTCAGGAGTTTACCAATATCATTATTAGGGAGAGTTCTTCTTACCTGACACACACAGTGGACTGTAAACATAATGAGGCATAATACTTATTATACTTCAATGCAATCATTTGCATCCATTTGACCAGCCAAAACCAGGTGGCCCGCATTTATGAGCTCAGCTTCATTTTGGAGACACTGAATAACTGAAAAAGGATAGACAGATTGAAATGCACAGGCTAAATGGCCAAATCATAAGAATTCTTGTTCAATAATGATAAAAACTTACAGCTTATGTTGGTATAGGTTTTAGGTTCAACATTCCAACTAGAGGTAGGTAGGTGTTCTACTGTTAAACATCAGAGATATTATTGTCCTCAATCAAAACACAATGAACCACTGGAAAACACGGATTTAAAAAATACACAAATATCAAAGCTGAGAATGATTGAGAACTCAAAACGAAATTAACATAAACACACCCTCTCAATAAACAACCAAACAATGTAAAATATAAACAATCAAATAGTACTGGCTTACACCGTTCTGGCTCTGGCGCTACGATCTCTCTTTCGTTTGATATGGCGGTATTTTCAAATCATCCCACCCGATTTATAAAATAACTTACTCTGAACAATCTATATAACCTCTATGTATTACGGTGAAGTTATAAAAATTATGAAATTGAAAATATTCTATTAGCCTGAATCAATATGATCATACCTATATTTCTTATTAAAAGTTTAACGCATATTATGAGAATAGAACCATAACTAGGTGTGGAATTCAGGAATTCTGAGAGTGGAGAACGTTCAGATATGACACACTCTAAAGTCATTATGATCAATACTTATTATAATATACCAAATATCATTATTGCTTATTTGTATTATTACGATGTCTTTAAGACGTATTCAGGACGTGAGAATCATCAGATATCTTTAAAACGTCTGAATGATGACATCTTGTAGACGTCTTATTCAAAGACGTACAGACTAAGATAGGATATAATTCAGACATCTTAAAGACGTCTTGTGCTATCTGGGTAAGATATCTTCTGATGGATATCCGCTATAAATCCATGGATGAATATCTCATGGATGTCCATCTGAAGACCACAAAAAAGTAAATATATGAGAGCTATTTTCGAGTGATTGTATATTTTTGTACGAAAACATTGAACAACAGAGAAAAATTCCAAACTGTGGTGTTGTTATTTATATGAATTCATATTTGCATCGGATATCTTAATTGTGGCTATAAACATATTATACCTACATAACAATAGTTATATGATGGAAAACTACCTTTGAATTTCTGATAAACATGTGATTTGCATGTGATATTTGTGATGATTCGTATTGTTTTGAACCATTCTCAATTAACAATTTTTGTTCGCTAAACGAACATCTTATGGACGTCCATAGGTGATCCGCATCAGAATATCCATTTGATATCCTCTGACGGATATCCTATGGATATCCATTTCATGTCCCAGGATATCCCGACCTGAAATGGACTTGATAAGGATATCCATAGGATATCCTGTGTTATCTGGGGTGGATATCAAATGATTATAATATGTTTAAAACTGACATACTTTCAACTTTCTGTTTATGATTGTTACAATGAGAATTGGTGGCGAGAAAACAAACAGTATCATAATCAAGTTAGTTTTTTCTCCTCTTCACGTTTGTTTTGATAAACCTTGTTAATATATAAATACAGTGTGTTTTTTTATATTGCAAAATAAATGTAAATTTTTCCTGAAGTCGAACCTGGATTTCCATTCCGCCTGATAGGTCAATAAATTCAACGTCCTGAGTTAAAGCTCCATACCAAATTTGAAAAAAATATACTGGGTCGTAGGTAGTTTAATACTTATGGACGAGTGAATAATTATTCAAAGTCGATAAATCACCCTGTATCTCTTTAATAAAGACTGTAAGACTCATATCAAGTATGGTATTTTCAGGACCTACTTGGCGACCCCTATATCTACCATTGAAATATTTTCCTTCACCTGTGAAACACCCTGTATAGTTAGTGTGTATAGCAACTGTTGATGAAATTCAACGTGTGCACGGATATTGATTTCTCTATGCGACGTTTCGTAGTCGTAGAATTATCATCAACTTGTTTTCTTAAATACAGACCTGACTGTGAGTATTTTTTGATTCTGAATCCATTTTTAATTCTGAATTCAACCATATATTATACAAAGTGGTTTGATCATGTTCCAATCTTGTTTTAGCCATGTTTTAGCAATTTATATTGACTCGAATTATTCGTCGAAAAAGAGAAAAATAATATTTATGGAGAAAACCCATCATGCTGATTATACTGAACACTTTTTTCCATTTCTGTTCAAAATTACACAACTTGATAATAATTGACGTCTAGCTCTATACCAATAAAGTCGTACATACAATAACAGATTTCCAAATTTATTGAGCCCATTCAATTTTTAACGATATCGTTATAAAAATACAATTTTATTTTCAATCATAAACTATTTCAGCATCTGAGTGGGCACTAAATTATGCGGTATGCGGTATATATACTGTGTGTACATCAGTGCTCTGGTCAATAAAAGTAGGCAACGATCGACTTTTGATCGAGTTAAATTTCAGAGTGATATTTGTAAGCTCTGCTTGTTGAAGAATATAGGTACTTTTGATCCAGGAGCTGTTACTTTTTATCGGGCGAAAGCTGTACCTATACTTTTAAACACCGGGCCAAACATATATCAATAACCCTTTGGAAATGTATGTACCTACTGATGAATATTCTGAATTCTTCACAGGTGCACTAAAGAAAAGGACAGTGATTCAACAACAACAACAAAAACAACAACAAGTGCTGGTAATTATCTATGGTGAAAATTGCATTATTGAGACCTACTATAGGTACCTATATGGATGATCATTTATATGTTCCACAGTCTTAATACATTTTTTCGGAAATTCGCATGTCGATTAATATAATTCTTTTTTACAGAAACAACGACACATAGTTCAAAGAGGACAGGCAGTACAACTTCACAAACAGGTATAATCAATTTATGAGGAATTGGACCTGAATTCCAAATGATTTCATTCTGAGGAAAAAAAACATTGTAATTTTTTTTCAAAATATTTTCGAGTGGGTTTTCATTACGCGTGAAATGCAACGTTTTTCATTAAAATAGATGAAGAGAGCTATTTCATTGTTTTAATAAATATTTTCTACTTTTTCAACTTCAAATACAGTGAAGATATATGGAGTCCATGAAATGTGGAATTAAAATACTTGTTTTCAAAGTTGTAGCAACGAATTCTGATGGCTCAAAAAATGAGATTTTGTTTTGTTATAGATGTGGTAACTGAGGTCACTTCAACGACAACTAAAAAAGGTAAGATTTTTCATGATTTGCAATGATTTTTGACAGAGATGACAATTTTACATTTTGCTTCCACCGTTTCATTCCTTCATCTTTTTTCTATAAAAATAGTATACTTATTACCTTATTTCAATCGATATCTTGTATATTTATACCGTTCTAGAGAAAATATCCCAATCGTTACAAAAGTAACAAAAACTATAGTTATTCAACAACATCATGTAGATGCAGTCATTGTAATAATTAACATCAAATTATTTTGTGGTGACACCATGGGTGAACTTAGTATAATGATATAAGTATGCATATGTGCGGACTTGCAGAAACTTTCAAGGCCAATAACTACGTAACGAAGTCTGATCGACATTTTTTTATATGACATTATTTTGGCTCACCCTATCACCCTCTATATCACCTCATATATCATTTACGACATGACCTTTCTGGACACCCTGTATAAGTACTTGAGAATTTGGATTCACAACGGGTCTTCATTTTGGAATAATGCAGCAGAATAATTTTGAGCAGTATTTGAGGGATTTTTTTTTTCATCTTCCGGCGGTTTTCCATATCATGATTATGTTAAATATAATTCCATGGGCGTAGAACTTGATTTGTTTGTTAGTACTCCTGATAAAATTCGACAAGTCTCATGGTTTCGACAAAATTTTCATCATTTCGTCAATACAAAGATTTATACGACGAAAAAAATTGAAATGTGCTAAATCAGCTATTTATGCTTTTTTCTTTGTACTGAGTAGGCAAGAGCCGTCTATATAGCGCCTAGACTAAAGCAACTATGTACTCAGGTGAATTTTCATCTACCTATTCATTTTTTGAAAATGATGCTTATTTTCAACAATTATCATGACACATCTGTTGATAGTTTTAATGTTGACTGATGATGCTATGATAATTACTAAAATTCAAATTTTGTCGAAACCCTGAGAGTAATCAAATTTCAGCAAGAGTACATTTTTGTAGTAAATAAGTAACACAATCCAAATTTCATATTCGAATCCCTTTCTCTTCATTGGCGTAGAAAATTTAGATGTTTGTCAACGTACCAAATTTGAGCAAAATATCATGAGCCATTTTACGATTCGAAAATTGTAACTTCAGAGCCATCCAGCGCCCTGTATATGTACTTGTTTCAAAAACACCTCGTATAATGGAATAAGATTTATTTGTTTGCCTAGGCTGCGAATATAATCTTGAGGTCGCCTAAAAGTTTCGCGGGGTATACATATAACATTAGATGAATTTAGTAACTGGTGTTATCAGAATAGGCTGATTGTAAACTTGAAAAAAACAATATGTATGGAATTTTCATATTCATCTCGAACTTTACATGATTTTGGGTTCAGTTTTCAAAATGAATCCCTGAAGCTAGCTGAATCAACTAAATTCTTGGGAACAATGATCGATCCACTGTTTACATGGCATGATCATTTCACCTGTAAAAAACTGAATCAATTATATTACTTGATTAAATCGCTGATAAGTAAATTGGATACAAAATCATTGATATCAGTGTATTTTTTTTTAATTGTTGTTTTGTACCCTTTACTATATTTAGTGTGATTTATACTATGTTGTAGCACAAAGGATTAATCAAATCATCTATCTATACACAATATTTTTCGTGCAATCGTTAAAATTATTGAACTAAATAACTAAAATCGTTTTGAATGAATACAAAATATTTTATTTACAAACGTCAAAAAATGACAAGGTCGCGCATTGATAACAAATTGCGAAGTGATACTGTTTTCAGTTTCCTACGTTACCATGAGGGGTATGGGTAACGGTTGCGAAGTTGAACTTCGCACACTGTGTAGAGAACGCGAAGTACTCTCTTCGCGTACGATTGCACGAAAAAGTAACTTTTAACATTTTTCAGCTCCAAGACCATCAACTGCCCCAGAATGCAAAAAAACTGGATTCTGGCCTGCAGCTAAATGCACCCAGTATTATGAGTGTTTGTCTAAGAGGAATCTGTTTTTCGGATACAGCTATTATAGTGAACTACGTACTTGCAAAGATGGTAAATATTACGATACCAGATCACAAGTTTGTGTATTACCCGCTGAGAGCGACTGCTGATTTGTCAACCATTAATGATGTATGTCATGCATCCTAACTATACCTAGCTAAAATATGAATAATATATTATTGTACCTCATTATTTTATGGTCATAATGATCTTATCATGGAAATAAAAAGGTATCAATGAAAACTGCTTACTTAATATACCTTCAACACTATACCTACAGGGTGATCCACGGTGGATGGCCTATTAGAAGTATCTGGAGAACTAAAAGACAGAACGACATTCTGAAAATTGGGATGCTTTGATAATTGAATAACATTCTCTATCCGTCTAAAATAGTTTCATTGATACAGTGATGCCACTTCTATTAGAAACAACTAGCAACTTCGTTATTTCAAATGAAGCACCCTGTATTTTATTGCATTTTTATATTCTTTCTGAAGAGCTGATTTCATCAATGCATCACACTTGGGGTCTACCAGGAATAATTACAGAGATATAGGGTGTTTAATATCGAGATTTTTCAATTTTAGGATTTTTTTGTGTCGAAACTATTCATTGTCGATCAAAACGGCTTACATGTCCCTCTCTTTACTTTTGATTAACTATCTACTGATATTTAATTGGGACATATACCGGGTGATCAAGATTCTGAATTCTGCACCACCCTGTATTTGTTTCCGGGGCTCGGTCTCTACATATTTGTCATATCTCCACTATCTGCATGAAATATTTTTGAATTGTTGAGTGACTGAGTGACCGTGTCCCGTGAATGTCCGAATGTCGAGACTGAACTCAAACTCACTGAAACTAAACAAACTATGCCGCCGGCCGAGACACAGTATTGTGGCCGAGAGCACCGCTGAGAGGGAGGGAGGCTCAACTCAACTCATTTACGATTTTTAAGGTTATGTAGGTTTGACAGGAAAACAATTGAAATGAGTGTTTCCTCAGTTGACCGTATGGTGGTACTACTGTATCGGCCACAAAACGCTGTAGGTGATTTCCCTTGTTTGGGCAGACCAGATACTCCAGCTCTGAGATTCCAGCTCACTAGATTTTTTTCTCCATATTTAGCAGACAATGATTGTTCTTATGAAAATTGTATTACATTTTGTCATATATGGGACTTTTGCAAATGATAGATCTGACAAAGGATGGGTCCATTTATCTGACAGTAAACAACTGTTTTTCTTGAATAATAATATCTGGAATAATATAAAATATAACTAAATATTAATTCATTCCTTGATTGATATTTTGCACAGCCAAAGAAAAATACAAAATTTCAGGCAATTATGCAGAAGTGAAGGACTATTTTTATGGAACATTTCCAAAACTATTGGTTTTGGGTACTTATAGGGAAGTTAATAATAACTAGGGCTCATTTTCATATTAAAATTGAATCTAATGCTGGGTTTATAGATTCAACTAAACTAAGAATTAAACTAACAACTATAAACTTAAAAAGTTGAATACAAGGAAACATCTGTGAGGGTTTATACATTTACATCTGTCATTTAAATTAAGAATTAAGAATTACAAAGTTGGCCAACTTTCAACTTAACAACTAAGAATTAGGAAATTCTGGAGACAGAACATGAAGATTGGATTTGTCATTATTCAAGAGGAGTTTGGTGATGTTAAATTGGAATATGTTTTATAGATTCATGAATTGTGAAGACCAAAATCACTTTTTACCATCATTTTGATATTTAATTAGAAGACATTTCACTTTTAATAAATTCTTAATTAATATCAGATATGTATAAACACCCTCATGATTATTAATTGTTGATTGTTAATTGTTAATTCCAAATTGTTAGTTTGATTGAATCTATAAACCCAGCATAAGGGAAAATAAGGATTTATTATTGATGCTGAGGCAAGAGACAACCATTATGACCAACAAGGTAAAAAACCAAGAAACAATTCAGTTTCATGACTTTTCAGGGGTAAATAGTATATTAAACTCCCAGGTGTTAGTTAACAGAGATGCCAAGAGTGGAGGTTAGCTATGTTCTCCAGACAGGAATTAAAAATCCTACCTAGGTTTATATACTATTTTATCCACAACCATAATATGAACAAAATCAATAAACCTGTTCCTTTCTGAACATACCTAAAATATGACATAAAAGTGAGGGCTGGAAGTGAGACTGGAATTAGTGAGGGCAGGAAGTAGAGGTGTGTGATGTGACACTTCCCAACCTTCAATAACATTAGTAATGACAACATTACATATATGGTTGTAAATAAAAGGATTTTCAATAACATTTTGAGCATAGAAATGAATTTATTAATCACCTAATATTTGGCCTAATAATAAAACTACTATAAAGTGACATTCAAACTACTTGATATTGGGAAATTTACTCAATAATAGATTGAGTTGTTTATGAGAGAGTTTTTTCTCTCCAGGTATCAATACTCCCTTTGATTCCTTTTCCTCTCTTATTCTTTTGGAGTTTAAATGATTCACATAGCACTTTTGGAAAGATTCAATTTCCTTTGAACAAAATGATTGATTAAACTCATTGTCTTTGAAGCAGGAGAACATAAGTGACATCTCATAAATGCAGCAGACTTCCGAACTTTTGTTTCCTTTCCCAGATACAGAGGCACCCAATTTCAAAGGTCGAGCTGGTTTGACTGGTACTGGTTCCTTAGGGTTGCTTCTAGCCACTAATAAACTACTGAATATCCTCATTTTTCTTTATCTGCAATAATTTAGTGAATTTTATTCCGTTCTTTGCTGATTTTGATCTGTATAGATCACAGCAATAAAGAAACTGTATTTATAATTTTAAACTTTATAACCATTTGGTTTTTTGCCTTTTTGGTTATTTGCTTTTTAATTTCTATCTGTAATATCGTGATGTGATCTTATATTATTATGAGATTGAAGAAGTAAGCTCACTAGATCCAGGGAGACATTTGTCGATTAGCCAGTAGCTATTTTAGAACATTGCCATGTGCAACCATAGACCAATCGACACGTTGAGAAAAGTCTAGACAGCGAGACAGGGTGCAACAAATATTCCAGGTGCTGGCAACCGCTTGTTTTGACTGTGCATGTCGACTAAATCCTTTCTTGAAAAGGAATATTCTCAGAATGGTGATTGGGTTTTCTCGATGAATGATAATAAAGATGAATTTATCATTCACTATAAAAAAATTCTTTCTTATTCATACCTTTGATTCATACTAAAATTTTCAATTATCTGAGTGGCGCATTTGATAATGCGTTCGAATTCAACGCCGGTCGGGTTTAATTTCTGCCGACGGTCGGCTTTTTTTATTCTGTTTTCTCAAGTGATTTCCCCAAAAATATACTTTTCATGCCAAAAAAGGTTTGAATTGAAAAGGAATATTCTCAGATAATTTATATATGAAGAAATACATTGAGAATTTGCATTCTCTATGTGATGAAAATATCAATTATTTATCGGATTATCAAAAAAAAAAACAACTACTTTCCTGGCTATATGTCACGACCAGAACCACGACTGAGACGATCCACGAGACCTCACGAGACGATCATTGAATTATATCTATTGTGACATTTTCAGTAAACTTGATTTCGCGCCAATTAAAGGTATTGGCTATTATTCGGCTTTACTATCACGTGAGAACATTCGAATTTACCGACAATATTAATGATTTGAATTCACCGCTATTGCCCAAATCGCTTTGATTGGTCTCAATGGCTAACAATGTTTGGGCAAAACGAATTTGTGCAACGTGCACACCATTCTGGCTTCTGGCTGAGAGCATAGTGGAAGGCTTCCACTATGGCTGAGAGCCATTGAAAATTGGAAGTGAGAAAGCGAGAAGATGAATTTTGATCAGTTGATATCAACTGTCAGTCTGTCAATTAAGTCAATTTACGCGCCAAAAAACTTTGGGTTGTTTAAAGTTTACACTTTTTCGATTCTTTAGTTTTTCCAGTTTATCCTGTTTATAATGGATATTTCACAACTGAATAACATATATGAAGAATTAAAAGCCCTTCAAGAAGAGTTTAAGTGTTGTATATGCAACAAACGTTGCCAGGATCCTGTGAGGGTGAAAGTGTGTGGTCACTATTTCTGTCATCAGTGTTTGTATCTTAAGAAAGGTCTTTATTCTTGCCCAGAATGTAATATGTACTATGAGGATAGAGACACTGAAACTAATAACATTGTACGCACAACACATAACATATTGGCAGATCTTGAAGTATGTTTGAAGAACATAATTGATAATAACCATTCTAGGAGCCATTCTACTATAATTGATATTGAAAACCATTCTGATGGGGAGACTAGAGTAGTAGATAAGATAAATATTCCAGAATACAATATAGACACACCAGAAGGTGATATTTTGGCACATAACAACAAAAAGTATAAAATTATATTCATTGAAGGACTAGAAAAAGTCAATGCCAAAGGTGAAACACCTTTGCATATTGCTTGTAAGAAAAAGAAACCAAAAAATAGAGAATTTATTGAATTACTGGAAAAGGGAGTAGACATTAATGCTCAGGATTTTGCTGGTTGGACGCCACTGGTAAATGATTTTTATTGTTTATACTATATAGTTTTAAGTTAGACTAATTCCAAGGATTATATGACTACACATACATTCCCTACATATCCAACTGGGTTTGGATGGTATATATTATCTTATGTAATTGGAATGTCTCTAGTAAAAGTTTTTTCCAGCATGAAGCTGTTGAAAGTGGAAACATGGAAAATATAGAATATTTGTTGAATCATGGAGCACTGATAAATACCCCAGGAGAAGACTATACAACTCCATTGCACAAAGCAGCAGTATCACAAAACATTGATATAATAAAGTTATTGTTGGAGCATGGTGCAGACCAGGAATTAATAGACCTTCATGGCAAGAAACCAGTTGAATGTACAATGGATGAGGATATTCAGAAAATATTTATCAACCCTCCATCTTGTTTAGAGAGGGTAGAACACTTGTTCTGTAATAAGAAAATAGTTCCATTTTGCTACTACATTGAAAATGAATATGAAAATAAGCTGAAACAGTTGAATATCAAAATTCAAAATACATATGATAAAAAAGTGACACACTTTATATTGAGAAGAACACACAAATTATCACTCAAGATTTTAATTGCATTATTAGATGGATGCACAATTGTACCTCAGGAATGGATAGATCAGTTTCTCAAAAATGACCATTTTATCCCAATTCCACATTACTCAATAATTTTTAACAAAAAATTGAATGAAGGCATCCAAAAAGCATTGATCTTCAAGTTATTGAAGCTACCTAAACTCTTTGACCAACTGAATTTCTACATATATGGCCATAAAAGTGTTGTCTTACTTTACAATGTGAAGTTCAATAAGGATTCATTGGGTAACCTGATCAAATCTGGTGGAGGAAAACTTCTACATAGAGCACCTACCCCAGGTACCTGTGACTCAGTTGTCAAGTACCCTTTTCATGCTAGGAATACTACTGCTTCCAAGTGCTGTAACTACATAATTTTTGATGAAAATAGCCCCCCAGAGCTAAGGTATCAAATGCCAGAGATAAAACACAGGTCTTCAAAGTGGCTTGTTGATTGTATTATAAGTTACAAACTATTAGACTCACCTAATGTAGTTTGAATACATTGAGAAAGTTAAACTTTCCATATCAAATCAATTCCTGAGTTTTGTTTATTTTTTTGTTCACTATAAGATTATAATTTATCCATCAATACATATTACATCCATAAAATATGCATGTATTTTTTGTATCTAATCAAGTCCGTTTCTGGCCAATAGAATTATGCCCTTCACATTTTTGAATTAAGCATGAAAAGTTGAGTGAGCACTATCAATTATTTCATCTCAAATAGTTTCAGCAATGATAATTAAAAAACATTTCTAGGAAAGCCTCTTCAAAAGGCTGTAGCTCCCTTATGAGCCATTTTTCAAATAAAAACAATTTCATGTACTGGGTGTTTCTCAAAAGGGGCTCACCCCTATAACTTTGTTGGTTCTATAAATAAACAAATGAAATTCGGTGTGTAAGTATAGTAAATAAATATGCATTATTTGACGTATTCAATTGTTTTCTGTCACTTCCGGTTTGACCGGAAATGACCCAAATTTTCTTATTTCGAATGGGACACCCGGTATATTTTTACATATTTCTATAGAGAATAACATTGTGAGTACAATGACACCTAGGGCTGCGCGATATTGGATTTCAGTTATCGGTTAACGATAAGTTGAAATGCATCGATAAGTTCGATATATCGATATTTATCGATATATCGATTGATCGAAATTTATCGATATATCGATATGTATCGATAGTTATCGATATATCGATATTTAAAAACTCAAATATCGTTATTCGATATATCGATATATTTATCGATATATCGATATTTTTTCCCAGCCCTATTTCTGATCATTTAGTGTCAAACATTGAGGGACTATATAGTTATTCAATACCGAAAAGTGGAAAAAAATATTTCACCATATTATTCAATGGAGCGCTTCAAATTAATTATGAATTCTTACACGAATTACTTTAATAACTTAATTTTGGCAATACCAACAGAAACATTCATAACAATTGTTCAAAATGATGACAATTATTCTCTAAATAAAGATATCCTCTTCTCACAGTTGCTTCTAAGACATTACTGAGCAACCTTATCTTGGACACACTGTATATCGATATATATCGATATATATCGATTAATATCGATATTTATCGATTTATCGATAGTTATCGATATATCAATATTTAAAAACTTAAATATCGTTATTCGATATATCGATATATTTCGATATATCGATATTTTTTCCCAGCCCTAATGACACCCCATTTGTCACTTTTTGACATTAATCATCCTGAAATTTTCATTTTTTAATCTAGTGATTATGATACTGGATATTGATTCAAAATACCGATTGTGTGGTTCATAACAAAATACCCTTTCCATATGGTAATAAGCCACCCTTGCTCTATTCGAAAAAATTGAGTAAACATCATAATTATGATATTGTGAATTTTGAATGAACCTGTGAATTAAATGAAAAGTAAAGATTCATCGAAATTATTTTCCTACGCAACATGATTTATAATCAACTGTTTTAACTCATTCATGGCACTCTAGATTGAAAAATGAAAATTTCATGATGATAAATGTCTAAAAGTGGCAAATGGGGTGTCATTGTACTCAGAATGTTATTCTCTACAGAAATATGTAAAAATATACAGGATGTCCCATTCAAAATCAGATAATATGGGTCACTTCTGGTCAAACCGGAAGTGACAGAAAACAATTGAACACGCCAAATAATGTACATGCATGTACTATACTTACACACCGAATTTCATTTGTTTATCTGTATAAACTAAAAATTTATAGGGGTGAGCAACTTTTGAGAAATACCCGGTATTTTATGGAGTTATCAAATGTTAAATGTGAATTTCAAGATATATCCTTGCCAGGTCATTGCACTTTTCAGGAGCTCTTGGTCTCCCTATACCATAATGACAACATAAAGAATTGATAAATTAGTTATTTTTGTATCTAGAGCGTGAAATGCTACTTTGGTGATTGAGATCTGGTTTTTTCAACGAGGCGTAGCCGAGTTAAAAAAATAGTCGAGATGACCAAAGCATTTCGCACTCGAGTTGCAAACAACATTTTTACTACAAACGTCAAAAAATATTGTTCTGAAGAAAAAAATGTTCAGCTTGATATAAAAAATAGTGTTGGACTGGCTTAAAAGACCTCTCCCTATCCTCCCTAGGTACGCACGATGTTCCACGAACATAATAGAAATTTCCTTTCGTGCGCTCCAAGAGATAAAACAAAGTTATTGTTAAACATTCAGAAATATATGATTTCGTTGATGTTTGCTCGATTGAGGACCATAGAGTTGAAATATAAATATCTCATATATTTCACATAACAATGCGCCAAGTAGGTACTTCGCGCACTGTTTTACTTCGCACATTGTTTTGTTCAAGATCATGGTAACGTACTAAACTGAAAAAAAGTGTCACTTCGCAATTTGTTATCAATGCGTTTTATGAAAAAAGTTATTTTTCTGTACTCCGCATTGGCTCTGGAGGAAAAGATGAATAGAAATCATCATAACTAAAAATATATTAAAACTTACGACCTACTTGATGGGTGTACATTCAACTTCTATAAAAGAAGAACACTTAAAATAAGTACCAACATGAAGAATTGGAGATCTCTTAGCACAGTTTGAGGATTTGCTCAACTGTTTCACTCAGAGCCAGCATTCCAAATTTTTCAGCTAGGGACAAGAATGTTTGTAAAAGTTTAATCAAATCTGTCCTCGATTGTAAACACTTGAAATCTGAAGAACAATGGCAGTGTTTTATCAGGTTCTCCAACTTAATCTAAAACAGAACAAAAATGTTTAATACAAAATCATAAAAAAATGTAGGTATTTTGAATTTTTGGATCGAAAAAGTTCGTGAACGATATTTTCGGAAAATACTCAAAAACAACCTGTTTCACCAATATAAAAGCTTCAAATGTAATACCATGTAATACTAATAAATGAACCTACCTTGACTTACAATTCAAGACGGTTATCTATCATTAAAAATTATGAACAAATATAAAAAGCTTTAACCAATTTCGGATCGTTAACTGGAAAATTAGCTTTATTTCTACATAAACATAGCTTGTGAATTGCTTGTATAAAACAAATAACATGTCCGGATGGCTTATCAAGAATAATTAAGGAACAACTTTTACAGGGTGTCCCACGACGATTAGGACGAAATATCTCGGAACTGGAGAGTAGTAGAAAATTGTAATTTGGAGGTTGCGAATCTGAGCAATTGGTGCAGCTTTTTCTGATATTTTTTTACCCAATGAGCTTCCTGTTTTCGGTTACGTGACAGATTCAAAATTTCAAATGGAACAACCTGTATATTTTAGCGTTTCTATGTTCGTCCTGATGTAACGATAACAACCAACTGTCACCGTTGGGGCCTGAAACGAGATTAATAGGCCTTTTCATATAGATATATTTTCAAGACGCATGCGCTCGTTTTTAGATCCAAAATTTGATTGGGTAATGCGAAGGTGGCGAATATGGCGGTTTTTATTGACGTTCTGTCAAATGTCAACAGTGTCAACCACAATGGGCATTCGTCATTGAGAAACAACAATAACAATATAGTATTTTCGTTTCCATATTCCTGGTGTGTATTAATTGTATTATATTAAGTTAAATCGAAAAAACGTTACTTATTCGTTACTGAGGAGTGTGGTGCAATTGTTTCAGTGAAAATGGCCGCCACTGTCGTTGGATGCGAGATGTAAACACAGATAGTCATTTGTCATCTCAATGAAGAGGCCTTAAGAACAACAGGTATTTCAAACGATTAGGACAAACGTCTGAAAGGAGCAATTGCCAAATTATTCAAGTTTAGGGCCACCCTACATATTTGGGCAGTCCCATATTTTTTGTGATAATTAAAACAATAATCATTCATATTTTATAAAAAAACGTACCTATTTCAGAAAATTTTGGGACAGAGGATGGATATTTGAGTACATGTAGTTCTTCATCATTTTAGTCCAAGAGTGAAGTTTGTTGGAATCGTTTCATCAGGAGGAACATAGAAATACCAAAATTAAATCTGATGTTACGGTAGCCGATAACAAAAAGCTCATTGGGTGAAAAAAATCCAGAAAAAACTTCACCAATTGCTTTAATTTACAAGCCCAAGATTGACATATTCTACTATTCATCAGCGTGGGACACCCGGTATGTTCAGCGTGTCTCACTTCAAACGGCCTCCCCTCTATATCTCAGATATTAGCCGTTTTTCAGAAAGGAACATAATTTTAGACAGTGCCGTGCGTTTTTGACCAAATGAAAAGAGGGTCAACTTTTTATGAAATCATATTAGAATTTTTTACAGGAAAACTGACCACATATTATTATTCTTCATGGTTTCAAACCCCCATATGTAATAGGACAGGACAAAATTCTTACAGTCGACTCCACCAAAGCTATACTTTATTGTAAGCAATCTTACAGGGACATGTTTCGAAGCTTTAAAGCTTCATCATCAGCGTTATTGTTACAAAGGAGTACTGTTCTGGAGGAAAAACGTTATGTTTACATATTTATATTATTGAAAAATGTTTAAGAAAAATCATTAAAAAGTTGAATTATTGCGGAACCCCTTTGTTAGGGAACTTTAAATATCATGCTTACAATAAAGTATAGCTTTGGTGGAGTCGACTGTAAGAATTTTGTCCTGTCCTATTGCCTTCACAGATGTTTGAACCCCATATGTAAATTTTTATATGATTTCAATGAATTATGCAGATCTAAACAGCATTTTTGCAAAGGTAAATAATAATTATTAACTTACTGAGTTCAACAAACAAAGAATGGGAGTGTTGAAAAAGAATATTATTAGATATATTATGAAATTAAAAAAAAAATTGACACATAAAGAAATACATTGAGGATTCGCATCTCTATCTAATGGAAAACGACTTTCCTGGCTATATGCCATGAAGAACATTGAATTACATATTTTGAAAATACACAATATGAATTTGAAAATGAAAATTTTCTACAATTGAGAATTGACAGTAACTTTCAAATCGGATAAATAATATGATGTGAAATTAAATTTATAACTTACCAATATATTTAGTATTGAAATGTGAATTAAAATGTATAGGATGATCATGATGAGCTTGAAGCTTTAAAAAATCAGTCGTATCATTGATGTTGGGGATACATAATGATAAATGGCTGAAAGAATAACTGGACTTCAGGTTACTAAGGAGGGTTTGATACCTGAAATGAGTTCATTCAAACAAAGTCATATAACCTGTTTGTGAAAAATGTATCCCAAACATCAATGATATCAATGATTTTTGGAATTTTCAAGCTCATCAAGATCATCGTTTATACAAGTAGGTATACTTCTGCTATACATTTTAATTTTCATTTCAATACTGAATCATATTGGTAAGTTATATATTTATATCATTTTACATCATATTATTCATAGGAAGAAAATCCTATGACACATTTGTAAAAATAAATTTGAAGAAATTCATCATACAACTAAGAACAGAATTTGTTAGGGAGAGTACATTACCAAAAAAGTTTGAATTCATATGTCTTGCTTCACTAAAACTATCAACTAACCTGTGAACATTTCTTGCACTGCAAATCCTGCAAATTATAAGCCAAAAACTTCCTACTGATGATATCCAGTAATATACATTCGATTTCTGCACCATCATAAGGTGTGTTGCACAAAGGACAGAGCCAAGCTGTTTCAGAACGATATTGGTCTCTACCCAAATCAATGTCTCTACAGTGATTACAAGCCTTACATATAATTTGAGGAATAATATACGAAACTGTTTGATCTCTGAAAACAGCTTTTTCGGAAAATTCACCAACACCTAGAAGAATAAGTGGTTTTTGATCGTGGACTGAGAAAATATTCAGTTTTTTACCGATTAAGCGAAGTAGATTGCTTTTCAATGTATCTACAGAATCTTTCACTGCCGGTTCGAGAGCCAAAATGTAACATATAGTTTTAACAAATTCCAAAGCTGCACTGGTGCCATCAGGCAATGGTGGTAACCGATTGTCAATTTTCTCAGTCATCCTGAAACAAACTCGAAAATTTTACCAATCTCAGGCTACTGGACGGATAGTGAATAATTGGCATTCAATTACTCCACTGTGTCGTTAGGGATCTAAATCAATTTTTAGAACAATTCGCACGCGTTTTCTATGTAAAGAATGTGTCTATCTGTTGTTTGAAATTGTTGAATTTCAGAGCTCATTTCAAACGTGCCGCAATGGCCGCCATTTGGCCATGTTCTGGGATACGTCGAATAAATGGTGACTTCAACTGTTTCCTTATTGGTCAGATAATCTATCATTTAATAATAATAATAATATGTCTTTATTCAGCATCATCATTTCACAAATGGTAGAGAAAGAAACAAATAGATGAAAGGGCGGGGTTCAGCTAAGAAGCTGCCTTTAAACCCAACCGGTATTTCCACTCATGAAGCAAGATTGTCAAGTCACCAATTAGAATAAAGTTATTAAGAAGGTGTTAAGAGTCCTGTGGTTTAGTAAAACTGCATCCAAATTAAAAATTACATTTGACCTGATAGGAGGAAGCCATGATGTTATAGTAAGTCATTCGTGACTTTTTCGAACAACCAGCTTGTTGAAATATTTCTTATACTGCATAACAAAACATCATGAAAATGTTGGCTGGGGACTTGGCAATGCTTTGCTGAATGCTGAGCATTGACAAGACAACGCCCACAATCCTGTGTTGTCACGTTTACCGTACCAAAGGTCATCTAGTGCAAATTTAAAGGAATTAATATAATTATTATTAACACAAATTCATCATAAGGAATAAACCAAAACACAAATAAATGGGAACATTTCAAGACGATGGATTTTTTATAGTTAATTAAGAATATCACCAATATATTATAAGCAAGGTTTATAATTTATTTATAAATTATTAATATTCTCACAATTAATGAAACGTTGAAAGCTACTCGAGAACCACTTGAACTTTGATCAGGTACAATTTTGTTTGATGTAGTGATTTGAGACTGTTGAGGCATAAAATTATTGATTTATTTGCATTTTATCAACAGTATCTTCACTGAAAAGTTCACTACTACATAACAAATTTCTCTTGATCACAGCAAATATTGCACTGGGAAAATCAGAAATTGCAGTTTACATGTCTTTTGGCGCAAATACTGTCTATTAGTCCTATTTAGCGTGTCATTTCATATATTATTCATTTCCAATGGATATTTCCAAAACTTGATAGTTTAGAAGATTGTTTCAGCTAGGTGTAAATTTTAGTGGACTGTATATTTTCGGTTGTGGATTCAATATTATCGTATCACTTAGATTCAGTTTGAATAATCGAGCACGATTCACCTTTATGGCCTTACCTCGCGTTCTTGATCGGCGGAGACGTTCAAGTAGACACTGCTTCGGTACTGCTCCTGATGAAATGCAGGAAGAGGGCCCTCTCGTTGTGGATGTAACAGGTTCAACACTTAACACGTGAAGTATCGCGTATTTAACTAATCGTCACCATTTTCATTCAACATCGTTAGATGTGAAATCACCGGGAAAAATGACATACACGGTGATGCGGTATACCGGGTGGCTACGGAAGTATTGCCTACAGAATATCTCAGTTATTGTATGAAGTAGGTTTGTGAAATTTGGAGCGTCGATATAATGATATTAGAGCTAGAATTTGAGCATATTGACATGTCAAAGTTAACTTCCGGTCCAACCGGAAGTAACATCAACTTTCTTATTTTGAATGGAAACCCTATTTTTTTTTCTTTTCGCTTCATTCAGCATTCAATTCCCTTTTTAATGACATATCACAATTTGTTATCTAATCAGAAACTAGATCAGAAAAAAATTATTATTGAAATTCACCGAGTAGGCCGTGGAAGCTAAATGAAAGCCAAAAAATGACTTTCTATTATATCATTAGGAAGGAATGGTTATGCTGAATAGTACAGGCAAGAAAAAGTTGTATGTTCCTATTTAAGTTATGGACCTACAGAGTATTGTTTTTCTCCCAATTTTTCCAATATTTTTTTTGGTGGCTTTTTATAACGCCGACGAATGAAAATAAAATATCACAGTGGTAGCAATTGCTATCAGGTGACGTATGGTTTCCATAGCCAACTTTTCAATTTTTGGCTTTCATTTTGCTTCCACGGCCTACTCGGTGAATTTCAATAATACTTTTTTTCTGATCTAGTTTCTGGTTAGATACCAACTTGTGATATGTCATTAGAAAGGGAATTGAATGCTGAATAAAGCGAAAAGAAAAAAAAATAGGGTTTCCATTTAAAATAAGAAAGTTGATGTTACTTCCGGTTAGACCGGAAGTTGACTTCGACATGTCAATATGCTCAAATTCTAGCTCTTATGTCATTATATCGACACTCCAAATTTCACAAACCTACTTCATACAATAACTGAGATATTCCGTAGGCAATACTTCCGTAGCCACCCGGTATATCGAAGTGGGACGAGCTGTCGTTGCTCATCCTTGACTCGGAGGCACTCGCGCAGGCGATTAAGGATCATCGTGCATATATTAGCGCGAAATTGGAATAATTAAAATACAATAATATTCACCCTATAAATACATAAAAAAAGATTGAGAACTCCCTAGTTCTCATAGAACAAAATATATACTCAAAAAAATAAAGTAAAATGATATGCTCAAAATAGTGGATTTCGAACAAAGATAATTCACATTTTTCGAAAAACGAACTTATAATTTGATAGATTAAACTTTAGAGCGCCCTGAAAAACAATAAATTCTGACCTCCGATTCTGACAAAAACGTTTGACAAGAAATCAATAACACATGAATACAAGAAATTCGGACATAATCGCCAAATTAACTACTACGGGATTCCCTTTCAAAGTTTGAAGTAGTATCATCTTAGTCCCTGAGTGATACTGATATTCATCATTATCATGGTATATAAATAATTATTATTCCAATAAAGTCCTCTCAAAATAATAAACTTGTGCACACGCAAATAATCTGATGAAAAAGCCTCAATCCCCATCACACCATGAGAACGTAACTTACTGGAATAAAGTTTGACTAATCTCTCCAGCTAGCAACTCCTTTGCATATTCGACGACTGTCTCATGCTGTGCGATTCCGAATGTTGGTTGGCTCAGTACCGCTGCTGACACTGTAGTTCGTTCGTTGTGCTTCAATCTGGTGTAGATGGCATTGATGTAGCCGGCAATTACGGCATTAAAGTTACTTCGGCATCTTGCCTGCTCTGGTAAGAGGTCTGCGATATTCCAGTTCATCACAACGATTGGCTGAAAATACCATATGTTGTACAGCCTCGATTAATAGTGTAACCATGATTTCATCATGGCAAATAACTACAAAGACTTCTTATTCATAACAATGTATGTATCTCATGAGTCATTTCAAGTTTCTACAGTATAAACAATTTTTTATGCCACTTCTATAGTATTGGTTCTGTAGAAGTATGGATTTTTTTTTTATTTTAAGTTTTCATTTCAAGTTTTTGATAACTCATACCAGATATGAATCTGTCTGATTGTTCATTTTATGAATGGGCCTGTAATTTCAGTGAAAAAATGTATTTCATTTTTTTTCTTCCCAGAGCTCTGTACGTTTTTTGAATAATTATTGAAATTCACAATTTTTCATATCATGAAAAACGCGGGACAGCGTGTATTGAGTATGCACAAGTGAATTCTCATTTCTAGGAAGAGTGTGGAAATATTTTCATTGGTTTTGAGCAATAAAACACTGAGGTATGTCACGTCATCGAGAGCTAGCTTTTATGAGAGGTGATCATTCTGGTTATCGAAAGAACATATTTGTGATGATTTTAAATGAATGACTGTATCAATTACTGTTATTACTTCGACTAGTAAGTAAAACCCCATTATCGATAATCTCTTTAGGAATCCATTTTGGAAAAACTAGTCGGAATGAAAAAATCTTTTTTCTTTTTTACAGTGATGAACGTATGGTATTTTTTCAAATAATTACTGTTCTCGCCTATTAATCGAAATATTGATGAAAATATGTTCAATGATGTGAGGAAATTCAACGAACTGCAATTCCCAAACAAATTGGCTGATTTGGCATTGCTGTGTTCTCATTATTTTTACTTTCAACTCCCACAATGGACTGGTTAAACCAATTAATATATAAAAAAATCGTTTGTCCTCATTTCACTCAATCTGACGAACATGTTGACCAATTTTTGCTTGGGTTTGTTCAGTAACTCGTTTTACTCAGAATAACCAGATTTGATATTGATTGTAAGAAATGAAATATTGTAAATTTGAATATATGAGGCAAAAGAATAATCTCACCCCATCATCCTTTTCTTCAGCCTCAGCTTCTTCCTCGTTTTCATTCTGAGAATCATTTTGGGACTCATTCTGCATATTGGCCGGCAATTTTCCTTTTATACCACCAAGATTGGCAACATCCAACCAAACAAGTTGTTCCCAACATTGCCTAAATATAAAATACTTTCAAAGTCATGCTAATTTTCGAGACTATTTGAAATGTATACCTGTATGTGATTTCTAGAGAATGAAACAGTTCCTTATTACGAATTGAAGATACAATGAAATTCACATTGGCTAATGCATCTTCTACATTATTCTTTTTGGAACAAAGAACGATTTTGTTGAAATTCGCATAGATAATTGTACACCCCAAACGTTTGAATTCGGCTACCAGTTGCAGAAAGAGTTTCTTCATTAAATTTTGTAACGTTCTCAGAACAGCCGGATCATAAAGTAATGCCTTTGGAGATCGAAGCCACCTACAAATTAATCCAGATGAAGTGAACAATATTTCTTCAAACGTCAAAGAATAACGATATTTCATGTATCAGTAATTTATGATGACGAAGTTTAATAGTTCCTCTGATACTAGACAAAAAAATAGGTAATATAACAAAACATAAAAATAATTTTTTTTCCAACATATACAATGTTTCTTAACTCCACCTGAATCTCTAGTGAGTTTAGGGAGTTACAGCTCTTCATAGATAGGTCATTATGGAACTGGAACAGAGAGTTTGAGAACACCTTGTATAATAGCCACTTATCTATTCCTATTGATTAGGGATTCAATTGATAATTATTATTGGCTGGTTCAAATTCATAAAAAAAATTAAATTATGTCATATTTCCTCTTTATAATACCAATAATTTCATACTCAATCAGTTCTAAATGATCATACATCTCAGATTTTGAGAAAAAAGGATAGGTGTAATTATTGTTGGAATGCGAGGCTGAGTTAAAGGTCATAATTAAGAGAAATTAATTCCCCTGTACTCAAAGGTTTGACGTACGACATTGGCGAAACAAAGATTCTCACTAGCGCTACTAGTGACATAATTTGAAAGATACTTGCCAGCTGCCAACCAAGAGATGTCACTTTATTTTCTTATTGACTTGGCGGTTGATGGAAATCCATAGCAAAATGTAAAAAACTCCACAAACAATTAGATTTACACACAATTCTTAAAAACACGCCCTGTTTCGTCGACTACCATAGACCCAACAGGATTGTACAAGTATTTCACTTGAAAAATTGTGTGGAAATCTTACCGTTCGTGAATGTAGCTTTTGTCAGTTGTCTCAATATATATCTTCAGTTCATGACGCTTACGTCAATATGTAGTCACAGAACTTGAAGTTTCGTATATTGAAGACTGGAACCTTTGGCACAATAACTGAATTTCAGTTTAAATCTTCTCCATGTCGAGTTTGGTTAGTTGTAAAACAGTGAAGTGGGTTGAAGTTTTGTACTTGGACAGTTTCCAAATTATGCCACTAGAGGTATAATATGGGCGCCTTCTGACCTGACTGGAATATTCCACTAGAACTGTACTAAATCTGTTACCGTGCATTCTACACACACTGGCACAATTAGGGGAACGGGTGAAATTTACACTAAGTTTAACATCAATTTTCTCTCGAACCGATCACTCGATTCAAATTTGTTTTTCACGAATTGTAGCTTCATTCTTCACGAATACATCTGAGAAATAACCACCTCCAAACGATTCGTCTTTATATCATATACAGGGGTGTGAAGAAAGTACGGATTTTTCGGTATTCTTTAAGACATCCTGTGGAGTGAACCACTGATAATTGTAACGATTTTCCAACACCAAATTATAGCCCAATCTATTCCAAATATTTTCGTTTTTTATTCATCTTGATATCCCAATTATCCAAAAAAACATAGAGTTTCAAAGAAGAGGTGGATATTGGTATTAATTTTACCACCTCGAAATTCGAACTGGGGAGAACGTGTCGTTTTTCAACTTGTTTCTGTGAGGATTTTCACTTCAAGATGAGAATTGTTCACACTTTTACCTATCGGTTTACTGTTTAAACATATACGAATACTCTCATGAATATGCAGGGGTGATAAAAGTTGCTCCAATGTTCTTTTGGTGAAATGCTATTTTTGTTAATCAACGTTGGCTATTTTGTTAATGTCCTTAATTATTGTCAAAGTCAAGCGATTCAATATTCATAAATTTGATTAATGAAAATTCAACGTGAGAGATTTGACTCCTACTGATGTGGCGAGGGCTGTAGCATTAATTGAAAATGACCAGTGGGCCAATGTTCTTTTAACATATGAAAGCCGCATCTGCACCAATTCAATAGATGGCAGGGAAAGACTATATATCGCCGAGGTGAACAAAATGAACAATTTGATTTCACTGCTTCTGTCTCCTATGGCAGAGGTTTAGTCATGGTCAGGTTAGGTTAGTCAAGAAACGACACAATTTCAGATCCAATTTGAGTTTTGAGGTGTAAAATTGATACCAATATCCACCTTTCCTTTGAAACTATCCTTCAACAATAAACTCATCAAATATACAGATGTTACAAAATTTTTAGGTCTTTATATTGATTGGCATTTTATTCAAAATACGAAATTTCATTTCTACCAGATACTTGAAGAGTATTTATTTCTCTCTTATTTACTCAAAATTTCAATACCTAATATCTATATGGGGAAGTACCAATATTTCACGTTTGAGTCCACTAATGAAATTACAATACAATAAAACATTGAAGTGTATTTTCAATTTAAATTTTCTCGAACCAACCATGAATTTATACAAACCTAGAGATTTATTAGATCTGACATCACTATATAAACTTAAAATATGTTGTTTTATTCAATTTGTCCTATATAAATTGAAAATTTCGAATTTAAATTTCAATGAAATCAATTCATTACATAATCATGGAACAAGACAATCAAATTTACTAATAGCAAATACGTTCAAGTCAAATATCGGCAAACAATCAATTTTTCACACAGGAATCGTTCTATACAACTCATTACCAAGTCAATTGAGGAATATACAGGAAGCAACTAGATTCAAAATTAACTTAAAAAAATATCTGCTTCAGAGACTTTGATAATCCCATTTCTTATTTGAATACCTATTTATAAAAGACTAGGTTGATATTGCATGATTATTTGCATTTTTTTTTTTAACTTGTTATATCTTATTATAATTTCATAATTGTATGTATAACATTATGTATATTGTTTATGTATCCCTATTATAAACAACTATGTTTCTTGGGGTAATAAAGACAATCAATCAATCAAACTCTGTATTTTCTTGAATAATTGAGATATCTAGATGAATAAAAGACGAAAATATTCGGAATAGATTGAGCTCCAATTTGGTGTTGAGAAATCGTTTCAATTATCAGTGGTTCAGTCCACAGGATGTCTAAAAAATACCGAAGAATCCGTACTTTCTTTACACCCCTGTATATGATGGAAAGACTCATCGTTCGAAGGTAATTATTTCTCAGATGTATTCGTGAAGAATGAAGCTACATTTCGTGAAGAAAAAAAATTGAATCGAGCGATCGGTTCGAAAGAAAATTGATGTCAAACTTAGTGTAAATTTTGCCCGTTCCCCTAATTGTGCCAGTGTGTGTATCTAATCATATTCGAAAGACCACATTTCAACTGATAACATAACTGTTGAATTCAGCAACACGGTGACATAATCAATGGAGCAATTTTATCGAAAGAATTAAGGAGATACAATCAGATACAATCATTTCATCAGTAGATGTGGAAAGTTTTATACCATATTGAACTACCAACCTGTAGAAATGAATGACTTGAAAATCTGCAAACACATTTCTGTACACAGAAATATCGCGCATCCACGCACTTGCCATAGTCCTAAGAATTTTGAAAGCCTCAGAACATCTAGCGGTTTCGTCGTAAGTCAACGTTTGATTTCCAGTCATCATGTCATCCAGTGAAGTAACGGCGGTAGCGTCAAATGCAGTTATATTGCTTGTGCCCTCTATGTCGGTCACGTGGTGAGATTGAAGTAAAGTATTTATAGCTAAGCTGTCGATGTCCAGTTCTACGCAGACCGTGGAATACCAACCAGGCAAGTTACATACTTCTGATGATCCTTCTTGGTTTTCAGCTAAAAGTCTAATAACAAATAATAAAAGTATAGTTCTCTCATACCACCATATGCATTTAATTTGATTTTTTATAGCCAACTAAGGATATTAACTATTACAATAAAAAAATTATGGATTATTAAATAAATAATATTCCTGAAGTTTCCATTCGTATTTCGACATATGTAATACCTGGCATCGTTTTCCTGAGTTCCCCCAAGATCTGGTTTATCTGTCGTCGAACACCACAGCACATGATTATGTTTGCTCAAGTGCCTGGCATAAAAAAGATCGGATCCGAATAGAGCAGGATCAGAAGGCATATTACCGAGAGGTACATGGAAATATCTACACTGTCCTGTCATCAATTCCAGCACTCTTTCACTATTCAAGTAATGTCGAATTATAGCTCGGGCTCCAATTTTTTGCCAATCGATAACGTTATAGAGTTCATCTATGTCCTAAACATAATTAAAACATGAAGTAATAAAGTGTCTTTAGGTTAATCAATCAGGTGGAATGTTCATGTCTGCAGATTTTTTAGGTATTTGCTCTACTTGTTCCTTTGCTTTGGACGTTTCGGGAACTTATATACTCCCGTTTAATAGGAGCAATGAGGACGGCGCCGACAAGGGCGCTGGAGACTCTGACTGGACTGCCACCTCTGAACCTGTATATAGAACACGAGGCGATGAAGGCCGTCGTTCGCCTAAAAAGCTGTACAGTGGAGCAGTGAAGGAACCTACGGACATTCTCGCCTCTGAAAGCAAATTACAGATGACTACCCCTCACTCAGTATGAGAGGGGGCAGTATAACACCAATCATTCGATTCAGGAAAATGCCCTAAGTCAAAATTCCTACTGGGATAGACTGGGAACAGAATGGGCACTGCATCATACTCACCAAGTGCATCATCTGGCTCCAGGATGGGAGAATGCGCAGGTGCTGGGACGGTCTATGGGCAGTCCCCAAGGGCATATCATTACTATACCCTTGGAAAACATGCCACGATTTATCAGGCTGAAGTATTTGCAATACTTGCCTGTATTCGAGAGAATATCGAGAGGGGCTAACACAGCCAGCAAATCACTATATGCACTGACAGCCAGGCGGCGATCAAGGCGCTCACCTCGTATAGAGGTATCTCCGCCTTGGTGTCAGAGTGCATAGATACCCTACAAAGGCTGTCAGCAACGAACAAAGTATGTCTTTTGTGGGTCCCTGGGCACTCAGGGGTACCAGGTAACGAAATGGCCGATGGTCTGGCGAGAAAGGGGGCGAAGGGTTCAGTGTTTGGTCCAGAGACAATCTTGGGGGTCACTCGATCCTGGAGCAACTTCAGGATAAAGGAAATCCTGACGGAAAGATTTCAGGACAGCTGGCGAGAGGCTCCTGGAATGAGGCAGTCCAAATTCCATATAGGAAACCCGTCACGAAGACAGACCAATGCCCTCTTGGCTTCGAACAGGAAGGAGCTGAAACTGGTGGTGGGCCTTCTGACAAGGCACTGCCACTTGAACAAACATCTCAGCACGATCGGGATTGTGGAGGATCCTGAATGCAGATGGTGCTTAGAGGATGAAGAGACTTCTACTCACATCCTCACTGAATGCCCGGCAGTAGTGGCAGCAAGGGATATCCATTTTGGGAGCAGTATCCTGGACCCAGAGGATGTTAAAAAGATTTGGCCTAGAAAGTTGGTCTCTTTTGCTCACGAGATCGGCCATGGCTGACTTGCGATCCCAGGAATGTGGGTGCACAATGGGCCCGAAAAGGGAGGCCTAAGTGCGTCAGGTCCCGGACCGCCCACACACACACACATACATACTGCCGTTTAAAACAAGATTATAGAAACAAATTTTCAACTGAGATAAACAGAGAGAATTTGAAAATTGGTGCAGATTCGTTTACGAAACGTCCAAAGCAGAGGGGAGAAACTTCAAAAAATATAGAAAAATTAATGAATTAATATATTCCATGCTGTTATGGAGTTTTTAGTTCATTACCTGTACATGTATTTTGACTTGTGGGAAATCTAATAAATTTGAAATATTATGCTGCAAATCCTGTATTTCCATAGCACATTGGAAGGCAACCAGAGTGGGACCCTTCTTTTCGTCTTTGAAGGCTTGCAAAGCTTTCTGCATTATCTTATAAACCTGGGACAAATTCGTTTCAATTTTAATTTCAAAAGACATATCTTCTGGAGGTAGTAATTCTTCATCAGGATTTTTTTGATTTCTGAAATTAAATTATTATTATAATCACAAGAAACACAATTGAAATAATATTGTGTGAATACTACTCATAGAATGAAATTATTTTTGACGTGGTTTTAGACATTTGTGGAGAATAGTAGAGGAGTCCAAGCGGAGATTTCGGGATTTACTCGAGCACGGAGGAATATCATGAGGGGGGTAACCTTGCACCTTGTGAAGTACTACCCCCATACCTGAGCCCTTTATATGGGGTCGAACGTCAAGGGCAGCCGATCAGATTAGTAAAATAAAATCGATCTATAGAAAAACTCGAGCGCGTCAGATTGCAAGTTAAGTTAATTACATACAGAAAAGTGTGCATTTCAAAAATCTGACGATTTGAGAGTGACATAAGGAAATGGGAGAGCCACAAAGTTGTAAAAACACGCCGATTTGCACGAGCCGAAGTAGCAAGAATTATCAATTACATCTTTCTCCGTATGTACGGTGGTAATATTCAGGGTAACGAATTTTGAGCCATCGAACATCAAAGGCTTTTGCATCTGGTAGTTGGGTGATCTGTGCCCATACCATGCTGCTTAAGAGCTGTGCTGCTTGTTAAGATATCCCCTTTCCTTCTCCTGCTGCGTGCAGCGTACTAACATGGACATAAAATGATGCAATCCCGTACTAAACTTTCTATGCCCAATGTAGTGAAAATGATGTCAATCAAAATTTCATTTAGGAGTCTTAATACAGGGTGGGACTACATTAAATATTGCTCAAACTTTTTTGTATGCATATTTTCCGACAATTTAATCTCGAATTATAAAAATCCACACCGTTTTACAGGAAACAGTGCTCCTGTTCCGTATCGATCATATGTATCATTTTCGAGTGGAATCGATTCAAAAATATTATTGCATAACGTTGCCAATTTTCAAATCATATACCTGCAATTAGCCTGCCTTCAACAGCAGATTCTTCGATCAAAAATAAGAAAAAGAGTTCCTATAAACTTGGATCGAAATGACTCATAAGGGAGCTACAGCCCCTTAAAGATGAGGCCTTTATAGCATCTTATCTTCACAGTCTAATATGTCCCCACGACGTTCGAGTAAATCCCTATTTCGCCTCTTTGCCTCCATTACTAGAATGAAATTTACATCTCAATTTTGAATGTTGCATTTTTCAATGATATTCTACTTCCTACATGAATAACGTTCACATAACTCAATCTTCTATGGTGAATTCACGCTAATGTCTTGTATACCATATGGAGGAAACAAAGAAATATCTCTAACAATTAATTAATCAAGTGGTTTCATCAGTTGCGAATATGGATAATTTTCAACAGTTTGAATGAAGATTTGACTTTATTCCTGATTGCAGGATCATTAGTGTGATTATTTTGGATACGAAAAAATGTCATACTTTGCCAATCTCTCAGCTTGATACAGATTCACCATGTTGGGCATCAGATTAGTCTTCACAGTATCAACTACAACTATCACGGCTTTCTTCACAGGAGTGAGGAACAAAGCGAACATATGTTGGGGCTTCGAAGCGTGCTTGTGGTGATAGAAATACAGATGTTTCATCGAATCCTTCGGCAAATAAGGCTGACGGGCTACGCTGACCATATCTAATTCGTCCAGGCTGAAGCTTTCCAAGCTCGAAGCTCCAGGCAGCACTTTGCAAACGCAACCGATGCTGAGAAGAGCTCGGAATATTTGCGTTACTTGCGTTTCATAAACTCCCTCAACGTCAGGATTTGTTTGGTCCAAAAACATTCCACTGAAATGAAAAAGTCTCTTGATGAAATGATCAATCTGGAATAAAAAATACAGATTTGTAGATAGGGAATATATAAATTATTTTTGATTTGCTGTCCAATATTTTAAGGTGAATTATTTTTTCGTCGACCTCTACAAAAAATCACATTTTACGTTCTGATTTCCGAACGAAAAACCGACTATTTGCGAAAACTAGTACTTTTCGTCCACAAACACTTTTCTTCCGCTGCAGGGTTGCCAGTTCTACTTAATTTTCAGTAGATCTCCTTATTTGCATATGAATCTACTAATCTACTGAAACATTTCATAGCCCACTGAAAAATATTTTGACACTCATTCATTATTATAATTACCTATATTATTATTGATCTTTAGTTAATCACATACACTTATAAATTGCATGATGTTTCGGCACGCCCTGTTTAAATTAATTTTACAAAATAAGTAATAAATTTACATATAGGTACTAATGATATGTATAAACCAAAAAAGGACAACACTTTATCTGATTCAGATCAGATGCAATGTTTTATATACATCTGTTATAACAGTTTCTTTTTTACCTTATTTTTTATGGTATATTTTTTGTTCATTTTTACTATTTGTTCCTGTTTTTATATACTGAAATCTTATAAGTACCTATGAAACTGTATTTTGTGATATTTGTTAGTATTTTTACATTGAGAATGATTGTTTTGTTTGTTTCTATTTTGTTGATAACAGGTTACTTTTCCGTTTACTAAAAGTACATAATGTTTTGACGTTAAAGGTTTTTTCATTATCCTTTCTTGGAATTCGTATAGCATAAAATAGATTTGAATTTTTGGCAAGGTATTTACTGATAATATTTATTGACAATCAATTTGAAAAAAAAAACAAAATTTATGACCCACTTCCTATAAAAAATCTCAGCCAAATTTATAATATTCAAGACGCTCATTGCATAAAATACTTTGGCGTAATGATTGATAATAATCTGAAGTGGGATAATCATTTATATTGTTCTGAAAAAAAATTTACGTCCCATTTCTAAATTCATATGTTTGTTTGAAATACTTGAACTCAGTATTCAGGTAATTTTGTCCAAAATTCAACTTGTCATAAATCACTGTATTCAGAAAAAATCTCGATCAGAAAATAAATTTGAAAAATATGTTGTTCCATTTGAAGAAAAAAAGTTGACAGTCGCTGACGTTTCAGTTAAAACTTGAAAAAATAATGATCAAAGCCTACTCATAGTATCTGACCTCATTCATTTGAATGCTATGGCTTAGGACGTTTTTGTTAGTCAGTCTGTAAATCACACTGTACTTTTGAAATCTTGAATCTGTAGAGGATGAACAAACCAATCGCATCTTCAGAAACAAATATTCTCAACTCCCAGTCAACTCAGATTTTTTCCAAGTTCCAAACAAAGCTGGAAAATAGGCGCTCGATTTTTGGTACGTCAATTTTGAATATTATACTCACTTTGCAAATTGTTGGTATAACTCCTCAGGTACAGAATATAAATACAAATTGTGCACAGGTCTTGATCTAGGCAATGTTCGATTGCATTTCTTGAACAACGCACCTTCTTCTACAACTTTTGGAGTCCGCAAATTCACATAAAATATTCTGGGTACTACCAATTTGACCAAGTGTAACTCAGATTGAACCTAGAATTGAATAATTCATAGTAAACTCCCAAAATACCTGTGAAGAAAGATTCTGAAATAACAATGAGCAACTAGAGTAAAAACATTGTCATCTCTGTCACGATATCTATTCGCGGGAATCAATGTTACCAGGCGGCGCTCGGTTTTCATCGTTCCATGTCAAAGCCACATCAAAACTGGGGGAAAACAAACTCAATCCTCACTCAATTGACTCAATCCCATTAGTGCCATTAGCTTGTGTACTGTGTACTGATAAGAGTGATGTTTTTAAATTTCTTGACATCAATTGTCAATATTCGATCGAAAACGCTAATAATGCCTGTTGTAGATGTTCTTTTGGCAGATATTTTGCTCTATTTAGATGGAAAAAGCCGACCAGTAGTGGAAAGAGAAGCAGTTCTCCGTGCTAATCATGTGATTTTGTGTGAGGCACAAGACTTCAACAGAAGGCACATTTTTGCACTTTGTCTACAAACTTCGGCGATGAAATCTTCCCCACATGAAATAAAATTGAAGTTGGGGCTGAACTCCTGTAGAACAATGGATTTGCATTTGTTCATGCAAAGCAGGACAATCTGGGTATTGTAAACATGTTGTAGCTGTTCTTTTATATGTCAATTGATTTGCTCGTCATAATTAGTTTGAATTGTTTGAACTATCTCCAATTCTTCACCCGTTCACTGATCACTAGATCACTAAACTAATAAAAATGTAATAATGTAAAAAAATTAACCAACTCAACCATCATCACTACCAAAAGTTTGACTACAGCTACAGCAAGCTGAATGCAATGTAGTCTATGCACTTTATCCATAGACAACAGTTTGTTTTCCCCCAGTTTGAAGTTCGTATTATGTAACCTAGATGTCGCCCACTTCGTGAATCTCGCGAATAACTTCAAATTCAATCAAGAATACAACAACAAAGATTACTTAAATCTCTCATGGAATAACCGGTGTCAACAACAGAAAATAATAATAATTATAATAATGTTTCTTTATTTCGAAATTAACTTCATACATACATGTATACATGAAGCTAGAAGAGCAAAGAAAATTTAGAACATTTCAGTAAACATGGTTCAAGTAAGTCATCTACATTGTACGGTTCTAGATCTAAGAGCCATTTTTTTACTTTTGTTTCGAACATATTCTGGTTATTTAATGATATGAGTATTCGGAAACTTATTAAATAATCGTATACACATATACGACGGATTTTTTCAGTCAAACTTTGTCTATGTTTAGGGGATAGCATATATCAATCGATCTGGTTTCATATCGGGTGTTTAAATCTTTGTTTGTCCCAAATTTGCTCTTGTTTCTTTGTAAAATCATCAAGCACTCCTATAGATACAGATCATATATAGTGAAAATCCTTTTCTCTCTGAAAAGTCCTCTGCATGACTGTTATTTACTCTGTATTATACTTACCAAAGTCCATAATCGAAATTCCCCAGGAGTATTGGTTTGTGCGATTTGGATAATTTGCCAAGGAACTGTCAATAAGGCTCTTTGTGCTTTTTGAATGAACCCACCCATTGTTCCAGGAGCAGAAGATTTCAACAAGGGATTGCTAGCATTCGTTTTCTTCTTTTTATTTGAGGGACCAATATTCTTTTGCTGAGCTTGAAATGACCATTTCCTTTTTTGGAACAAAATCCAAGCAGTGTACTCCTCCTTGAGAAGAAAATCAATTGTTTCAATTCATAACTGAATGATAGTTTTAGAAGACAAAAAGTGATAATTAAAAACACCTAATTAATGATGTGTAAGGCAAAGACAAATTTAAAAGAAAGACAAATATGAGTATCTTCCTCAAATCAATAAGGGGTATCTCCATACCCATAGTTTATACACCAAAATACACATTTGATTGTTGTAATATACCAGCAAAAATTAACAAAACTAAGGAAGAAATCCAGCAATTTATTGAAAAATGGCCACGATCTTGAATTTCAAATCTGGTAATACAATTTTCTAGACTAGAAAAAATCGCAATGAATTTTTGAACAATATCGAATAGTGTAACTATTACACTGTACAAAGTATTATTAAATTCATGAATAGAGCACGCTGTAATTGCTACACCCGTTATTTATAAAAAAGGTTTTTGTGCGAATACAATTTGCATATCAATGTTCAAATAGTAATAACCTGCCATTCAAAACAAAAAACGTCCAAGTCGGAAAAGTAGTTTTGACGAAAATGTTTCCTAAAGTTTTGGCTACTTTTTGGTGGTGCGTTTCTTGGAGAAGTGTAGTTTGCAGACAAATTTGAGATAGAAGACGTACCTTTGTACTGCCAATTGGAGGAGGATTTCCGAGTACATCTCTCCAAGATTTGTTCAAATCTTCCTTAGAAAACTCATTCTCCTTATCCGATCCTCTCTTACGTTTAGTCACAACAGCTACAGAAGACTCGCTACTGGATCCTTTTTTGGCGATATCCTCTATATCATTGATCTCACCAGATTGATTTTTATCGATTCCATTACTGGAACTGGGTTTCGCTCCTTTAGGAAGCGCTGAGAACATGTCACTGATGCGTCTCTGTTTGAAATTGTCATTCTTTTCTAACATTTTCTTATGCAACCAATCAGGGTGTCTAACTCTAGGAACTGGATTTGGCACCTAAGATATTTGAAAAGAGATATTCACAACGTTCATATCAATGGCAGGGATTTCCGAAATTGATCTCAACAACGCTACATAAGTAATGATTCTCTTGATTTTATTGAAAAATAGGGAGAAACAGTACTTAGTTTCAATGTTAGAACAGTGTTGAAGTTGAAAAATGAACGTGTCACTGGCTTTTCCTTCCATATTTTCTTTGCCAATGCTGAAATTAGGATCATTTCTTTCAACCGTTTGCCTTGATTGATTTTCGCAACACTTCTTACGCGTTTTTGATGTAAATGATGTGTCTATTGGTTGTGTGACGTCAGTTCTTATGCTGTTTCAGTATTGGTCAGATAATCTTTCATTTTATCAAAAAGTTGTTAGAGCCCTATAGTTGAATAAAACTACATCCAAATAAAATATTTCATTTCACCTAATAAAAGGATTCCATATTATAGTTATTAATTATTTACTTTTTCAAGCAACCAGCTTGTCAAAATACTTCTTATACTCCATAACAAAACATCATGTAAATATTGGGTATAGACTTGGCAATGCTGTGCTGAATGCCCAGAACTGAGAAGACAACGCCCACAATCCGGTTTTGTCACGTTTACCGGACCCCTACTTACGAAATAGTGACGTCAGTTTTTATTTGCGGTAAACTTCTATCTGTTGACAATATCGATGATTTTAGCGACCGAAAAAATCTTTAAAATATGGGATTGAAGGGTAATTGATCTATTTAAAAAATAGTCTACTAGTCCACCTTCATTGACATTTTTCATCTCAAATATTTTTCTGTCAATTTCTATCCGCGAGGAGTGTCAAAAGGCGAAAACAAAAAGTCTTATATTGAAAACGGGAGTAGAGTCATTCCCGAAACGTTCAAAGATAAGTGAAATATCATATTTTTCAATATACATACCTATTTTATTCATCAAACATTTTCAACTGACTAGCGATTGACATTCTCTTTTAGATTTCTAATAGTGAAATTTCAAGAGCACTGACATTTTGGAGCAAATTATCTGATTTTTCCTTACTACAAGTAAATTGAAATTATAATCGTTTTTTTCTTTAGAGTAACAAGGAGAGAAAATCCAAAAAATTGAGATAAATTAACGTTATTTTATCTGAATGATAATTCCAGAAATTCCTTGTCTACTCCCCACACAAAAAATATTTTGTAATATTCTGCTATCGGTAATGATGGAAAATGCTTACTATGCAAGCTTTCATTTAGTATCAAATATCTCGAAAAGGTAATTCATTCTTTAGACAAAATTGAAGAGATAATTCGAGAAAATAATAATAATAAGTTGAATGAAAAACATGAAACAGATGGGTATCAAAATCAACTCTTCTTCAGTTATTTCGAGAAAAACGGTGTTTGTTTTTGAACCTTATAGTCCTACTCCACCCATCACCTAACCTTTAAGGGCTATCAAACCAGGAATAAAGATTTGATTGATTGATTGATTGAATGAAAGCTAGCATGACCGGTATGCCGGAAACATAGCAGCGCCATCTGCTTCGAACTTTTCAGACTAACTGCTATTGGAAAATAGTATATTCTACAACAAGTATTCGAATGATCAATATTCCAAACAAGTGAATAGTTCGCGAGTTTGGAATGAGCCAAGGCCGTGCCCAGGGGAGGAGGTCCGCCCCCCCCCCGAAATAACGTCCTAAATCCGACTTTTTCCCTTATTTAGTTCGAAAGAAAAATTGAATAAGCAGTCCTTCTTTTTTTTCTTGCAGCCCCCGAAAAAAAAACCTGGGCACGTCCTTGGAGTGAGCCATTCCCAACGTTTTGAAAGAGATTTAAGAAACACAAGAAATGACAATTAAAAAAGAAGAGAGAATACAAGGTGCTCGAATTTTGAAATATTGAGACGTCAAACGCGATGATATTTCGATAACATGTTTGGGCGTAACCATAGCAGCCGCTGCGGGTATTCGATCGGCAGCAGTGTTAAAATTATCCATTCTTACACATACGATCAGGATCACGTTTATTCCGAATGAATTTGACGTTGTGGAATGTGTAATTTCCGTGATAGTTTTATAGAGCATCATATACATACTCCTTGCATAGCAGCAGGAATGGTTATAATTTTTTGAATGGCTCCTCCTAATCTCTCAATGTAATAATTCCAGTCTAGAATATCTCTGATATCAATATCATTCAGAGAAGAATCCCTCAACCATTTTCTCAGATAATGCTTCTGAATAGTTTCTTCAGCTTGGAATATCGCCAATGGGATAGCTCTGAAATTAAAATTAGTGCCTGAATAACACAACCTTAGGGCTTATTGAGTGAATAATTCGTTCTTGGTACCAAGTCAACCTAACTTTGAGAATAAAATAGATTATAATTTAAATATTATGATGAAGGTGTCCCAGAACGACGTACCATAAATTCTACAGGGTGATGTAGAGACCAAATTAGGCCTATTGAAACCAACTCACCTTCATACGAAAATGCACTGTTCAGCCGTGAGAGGGCGATGAAGAACAATTTTATTTCCAGATTTTCTTCAATATTTTGGAATCCTTATTTGTATTTCAAAGAAAGATCTATTATCTCACTTTAATCAAACTGCAGATTTTTTATTACTTTCCTTGGTTTTCGAGATAAATAACAAAATTCGTTTTGGTGCTTCTTCACAGGACACGGAGGTAAGTTGATTTCAACCGGCCTATTTTGGCCCCTAGTTCACCCTGTAGAACTTATGGTACTTTGTTCTAGGACACCTTGTATATTGAAAAATATGGGACTTGATTGAATAATGCATAATTTTCAAATGAGAAAATATCAAAATGTAAATTTTGCTTCTGATTACCTTTCAGTAACTGGCGCACCATCGGGTTTTCGTGAAATAACATATTTACAAGCCAAACCTGCATCTTTCACCATTTGATCACCCAAAAACTCAGCCAACCGTTTGGCTGTACTAATAGATGAGCTCTTTTGCGTTCCATATTCTTCCAGTTTTTTTGACATCGAACGATTTTCCGATATAAGAGCAAACAGCTCAGTATCAGGCATATTTCTTCCTTTCGAAAATAGGACATCCAACCAATAATCAGCAACTTGTGCAACAGCAGCATAACAGGCCTCTAAAGTATCACCTTTCAGAAATGCCTCAAATACCGAGGACTGGAAATTTTTTATCAGTTGCAGCTCACCTCTTCTTTTAACCTCAAAACTAAGAAATCAAAGTTGATCGAAGGGAACTACCTACAAGTTTCTAGATGTACCCTTTCAGTTCCGCTAGAGATCCATCAAAATTGAACACAGCATATCTCTTCTTCAACTTTTTACCTTCCTCTTTACTTGCGGGCAATACCATAGCTTTATAAGGACCATCAACTTCGAAAAATATTGAATTTTCATTTTTAAGACTATATTCCAACTTTTCTGCATTCACCAATTCATGATATTGATCATTGGTGAAATGTTGCTTGACCATGGCGTTGAGTACAGTATTGGGATAAGAGATATTGAATTTCTTCTTTTTTTCATGGGTGGTCAATACCGTGAAGTTTTCTGGAAATGACGCTGGGAGGATACACCAGATACCATCTGTGTCCAATTCAAGTGGTCGGCCTATTTGTTCTATTATCTCACGAGCCTTCATAATGATATTTGCTCCTGTGAAACACACAATTCCTGCCATTTCCATACTGTGCCAACGTGCCCTGAAAATTCAATTTTGAAAAACTTGGTTCGTGGAAATGATGCTGATCAAATGAATTACCCTCGTCTCATAACATATCCGTAGAATGAATTGAGAATACATTTGTGGGCAAGCTGCAAGGAATCATATAGGACCTCTCTATTTTTAGCTGATTTTATTTCGGATGCATCTCCTTCTTTTATAGCCTGGGTAACCGCTTGCTTTGCTTTTTTTGATAAACCCTTATATTCATATCTGGAATCAGACACAATACAGACAAGGTCTCGCAGTTATATCAGTTAAATAGTATATAGTAATTCTTTTCCCCTGAGTGGGACTGGAGGGCTGGAACATCGTCAAGTTGACAAGATTACAATGATCTTCCTGTATCACGCGTTCCAGATTATTGTCTAACATCCAAATGATTCACCCAATATACATGTGTCCGCAAATCAACTTTTCATTTTTTTCTTCAGAACTCTTTTAGTGCTCGGGATATTCTGTTCAAATTTGAATCATAGGTTACGTTTTAGGGTTGGCATCATACAGTATATATGTCGGCGTCAAACAGTGAAATCCATCATTCTCTGGAATGCCTAGTCATTTCACGTATTGCCGGCAAACAGCGTAACTATAAATTTCGTACAGCGTTTGCCTAATAGTTTCAGGCATTCGCTGTAATGACGGAAGGAAGGTTCATTCAGGCCGAGTCAGCTTAGGTTGTTCAGAAGCAGTAGTTTCTTCTGTTTTCTCAAGTAATTTTCTGAAAAATATACTTTCTAGGAAGAAAAATAGTGTTCCTTTCTTATGCATATGCAGAAAGGATATTTTTCTTCCTCAACCCTCCGACAAACAGAGTAACGGCTAAAAATGGAAGTTACGCTGTTACGCTGTTTGCCGACAATACGTGAAATGACTAGGCATTTCAGGGAATGAAGGATTTCACTAATTGACGCCGACATATATACTGTCAACCAGACAAAAAATATCAAAAATTTTGAATTATACAACTCGATTATGTCAGTAGAAAGATAAGAAGTATCCTACCAAAAATCAGATGAGTTTCTCAATACTTAGGATTGGAAAAACTCAATACCCTTTATTATGCATTAGTAGAAACGCATCTTTCTTATGGAATATTAGCATAGGAGGATGAGGGGGGGGGGTTGAATGAACACCTACAACAAATCCTAAAAAATATACAAAAATACATACAAAAAAGAAACGAACTTACCCTACGAATTTACCCTTTGATGAAATATAATTATTACAGAGAAAATTATTTTGTTACAGAATACTACAATACCAGCATCAACACAAAAATGATTTACTCTCTTTAGTTCATAACTATTATAGTACCCGTCACAAAGCCCATTCTACTTGGGTTCCAAGGTCTGCAAAAGCAATACTTAGTACCTTGGGTCAATCCGTCAATGTTATGGATCATTTACTATCAAAACAAACATGAAGAAATGAATGATTTCGGTGCCAAATGAACTCAATTATTGATCACAAAAATTCGTTATTTTTGTGTAATTGTAAAAGTTATGAAAACATTGCCTGAAAAATAAGAAACCTATGGAACCTTGACTTTTTATAAAAAGGTACTGAAAAATAAAAAAATCTTGAAACTGCACATATTTATAGGAAAAATAAAGTTATTTTAAACTGCAAAACAGTACATAAGACGGAGCGGCTCGCACAGCAGCAGTCAGTCAGTCAATCAGTCAGGAGACAGTTGTATACCGCGTATCTTAAAACGCTTCAAACAAATACTAGTGATAATGAATAAGTTGGTGTTCTTTTTATTTAAATAAATCAGTTCATAAATGAATAGTCCCAGTGTCCCCACGCTAAGGCGTGGCGTAGCTACCTAGGGGCTAGGCCCTCGAATCCTTACCAGAAAATCTAGAGCAAACTGAACTTTGAAAATGTCTCCTATATTCAAAATAAATATGACAGATTGCAACCCGACTTTAATCATGGCAACTCAGTTGAGAGACATTCGTAAGTTGTTTTACCTAGGAAATTCTCCTAAATGCTTTTTGTGGGTTGGCAGTGTTGTCAATTTGACGGATAGCGATATGTGATATTTGCGTATCATTATTCATGGATGTGCGTTTTATTGAAAATTCGAGTAAAGGAATTTTTGGCCAAAAGATTAATGCTAAATCAGGAGTAAGTAAGGAAATAATGAGCAAATATGGAGTGCTAGAATGCGACCTAATGGAAGTATTTACAGAAATGCTATGATCCTTCACAATTCCTGTCACTTCTGCAGTAGCAGCAATTGAAAACACAACCGCATCAAGCCTGGATTAAACCGATAGTTTTTCGAAAACTGAAGCAAAGAAAAGATTGTAAATATAATTATTGTTTAAAAATATACTGTACGAATCAGTGCTGATAATAAAGTAGCTTAGCATTTTCAAAGTATCTGTAATATTTGTATATTTAATAATTTCTAATCCTTTCCAATTATTACCTTCTGTCCCTGAAAGCTCGAACAGTATCAACATAGAATGAATTTTCTCTCTGGCAGATGGTTGTATTCCTCTCTTCAATTCTGGTACACTTCAACTTCTTGTACACTTTTCTACAATAAATCGACAACCTTTTCTTCTCTAACTCAGCCTGATCTAGTCTAGATAGTTGATGGAAAGCTCTAGGCTGTCCTCCAGGATATTGAGGTGGAAACTTCTCAGTCTCAAGCTGTTGTTGAATTCTGTGGTACTCATTTCTAGACGCAGGCACTAAAAACATAATTTATCCTATATATGGCCATACAAACGATTCACTTTCAATTATTGTCTTTTAATTTTAACCATTAGATAAAATGACTAGACCATGCGTAAAGGACGATTATGGAATGCAAATTGATGAACTATGTCTCTGTGTATCATGATTTCCCCCAAAAATTTGTACACCTCCTAAATTGTCAATGAAGAACAGGTGCAAAATTGATGAATATTGGGGGGTAGCCGTTTCCATTTTGAAAACAAATTAAAAACTTTGTGTGTGTGTGTGTTGATAACCCTCTTGTATAAAATTTGTTCAGAATAATTTTATGGTTTATGAAGACACTTTAAAAAAATATGATACATGAACCAAACCTACTATATTCTTCTCTCATCATCCAGGCCATACTTCGTTGACATTGTGCACCTGGTCTATTGAAATCACAAGCTGCACATATGGTTTCATCAACCATGGCACATGGTTGCAATCTATTGGTTAAAATGATGTTGGGATACATGGCGCCAACATCTAAATGATATATCAGTGGCCTCTCTAATCTCATTGGTTGATCCTGAAAGGAAATAAATCTGGCAATTGACCAATCTGGACCAATCCGGACCAATCCAACTTAAAGTCTTTTGTTGTGTCGGTTGTTTTGAAATCTACATATTATATTCGTATGGATTATATATGTGTTATGAGATAGAAATTTGACAATTGGATAAAATGAGGAACTACCAAAATATAGGCATTTTTTATTTCCTTCATAATTATAATGGAATTCAGAACAAAATCAGAAATTTGTTTTGGCTCTTCCACATTCAGATGAAAATTTTCTCGAAATAGTAGAAAGACATGCATACACACACCCCCAAACACCCTTACACACACAGATCTGAAATGCGTCTGCGCCAGTACATCATTTGAGTTCAAATAGAGTAAGTATTTCATGAGAATTGATTGAATAGTACATTATACACTTAGAAACTGAAGTGGTATTTTAAATCCCCAGACAAAAAAGTAATAGCCCAACACTTTAATTAGTCCTGAGTTTTAATCTTCTCCTGAAGATGCTAACATAGTTAGCGAAATACGTGTCGAGGCGTTAAAAAATCGGTTTGGTTAGTGGTAAAACAGTGTAGTGTATTATCGTGCCAACGGTTCCAGTCTTCGATATATTAGTCCTGAGGTTTATATAATATTTTTTTCACCACTAGCTATAGAAACCTACCATGATTTACTCCTTTTGAAGGCGTAAAATGTGTTTTTACTACCAACATTCACATTTACATCATATTATGAACCACTAGTCAATAAAGACATAGCCACCACTGTTATAATACCCCAGAATTCACTGTTCTGATGCGATATTCACAGGAATGGCACTCGAATCTAGTAGGTATTTATCAATAACGATGTCATATGAGCTGGAAGCTCACTAGATTTTATCTCCATATTTAGCAGACAATGGCACGATCGGATGACTTGAAATTTGGTCACCCAGTATATTTAATGATGCTCACTCGAAATATGCTATTGTATAAATCTTAGATATACAGGATCACACCAAAGTGCACATCAACTTCCAGTAGATAGTGAATCGAAAGTTAAGATAGGGACATGTAAGCCGTTTTGATCGATAATGAATAGTTTCGACACAAAAAAATCCTAAAATAGAAAAATCTCGATTCTGAACACCCTATATATCTGTAATGATTCCTGATAGACCCCAAATGTGATGCATTGATGGAATCAGCTCTTTAGTAAGAATATAAAAATGCAATAAAATACAGGGTGTTCCATTTGAAATAACGAAGTTGGGGTCCACTTCCGGTTCAACCGGAAGTGCCACAATCTTCAAAATATTTTAACCGGATAGCACTTATCAACAATAGTGACCTACCAAATTTTCAAATTCGGCCCACCTATGGTTTTTTATACATTGATCAGTATCGATAGTTCAATGTCAACGGATGATTTGATTAACAATGCTTTTGGGTGTATGATAAATTGACATTCATCATACAGGGCGTGGAAATGAATTCTGAATTGAGACTCTATCACGAATCTGCGATTAGAGGTCTATAAAAATCACAAGTTTCCATCGTTCAAGTTTGAACCCCCTGATTGGGTATGAAAGTGTTGAAAAGGAATATTCTCAGATAAATTATGAACATACAAAAATGGATATATATTTATATAAAGCAATACATTGAGAATTCGCATTCTCTATGTGATGAGAATATTTACTCTTTTTCAGTTAATTCAATAGAAAACAACTACTTTCCTGGCTATATGCCACGACGAACATTGAATTATATCTATTGAACACACACGATAAGAGTTTGAAAATAAAATATAAATATTTCTGAAATTGAGAATTTGCATTCTCCTTCAGACAAAAATATGTATATACACACATCATTCTGAATATTCAACAGAAAACAACTACTTTCCTGGCTATTTGCCACGTCGAACATTGAATTATATCTGATGAACATTCAAAAGGGGAACATGAAAAATAAAGAATAAAATCCTCCGAAATTGAGAATTGACATTCTTCTTCAAATCGGATGAATAATATGATGAATAATGATCTAGAAATATATTGGTAAGTCATATTTCTAGATCATTATTCATCATATTATTCATCCGATTTGAAGAAGAATATCAATTCTCAATTTCGGAGGATTTTATTCTTTATTTTTCATGTTCCCCTTTTGAATGTTCATCAGATATAATTCAATGTTCGACGTGGCAAATAGCCAGGAAAGTAGTTGTTTTCTGTTGAATATTCAGAATGATGTGTGTATATACATATTTTTGTCTGAAGGAGAATGCAAATTCTCAATTTCAGAAATATTTATATTTTATTTTCAAACTCTTATCGTGTGTGTTCAATAGATATAATTCAATGTTCGTCGTGGCATATAGCCAGGAAAGTAGTTGTTTTCTATTGAATTAACTGAAAAAGAGTAAATATTCTCATCACATAGAGAATGCGAATTCTCAATGTATTGCTTTATATAAATATAAAAACTATATCTTTCTCTAAAGTAAATATCTCAATTTCAATCGTAGAATCTTTTTAATCTCTTGACTTTTTACAATCATAAATTCAAATCATAATTCTGACACTGTCATCATTCTTCTTTTTAACAATATACAAAGCGTATAGAAACGACAAATATAACAAAAATAGATAATCTTCCTCAACATTCTACCCCCTGGTGAAGACTTCTTCACAAATTCCTTTGTCCGTTAACATCCAATTTGCAGAGTTTCACGACAGGTCGTCGATAGGTTCCGTACTGAGTTTTCACTTCTACAACTCTTACGATGCCATCGCGTCCAGGATAGGTATTAGTTATTTTCCCAAGAGGCCATGTATTTCGAGGTAGGGAATTATCTACAATAAGAACAACATCGTCTTTTTTCAGATTCTCGACTTTCTTGATCCATTTTGTCCGCTTATTCAACTCAGGCTTATATTCCTTCACCCATCTCTTCCAAAATAGCTCTGATATAACTTGTACTGCTTTCCATTGTTTTCTCATGTCGTAATTGGGATCTTTTGTTGTGTCTGGGAAAGAACCTTGCGAAGACCCAATAAGAAAATGATTCGGGGTCAAACTTTCTGGAGCATTAGGGTCTTCCGAGGTGAAAGTTAGGGGTCTTGAATTTATCATATGTTCAATTTCTACGAAAGCGGTTTGTAATACTTCATCTCGTGGATATTTTTCTTTCATGATAACTTGCAGACTTCTTCGCACTGATCGGATTAAGCGTTCCCAGCAGCCGCCCATATGTGATGCTGTGGGAGGATTGAAATGCCATTTTATTCTTCTTGAAGACATTTCATTTTCGATGGCATCTTTGTCAATATTTTGCACAAGTGTGGAAAGCTCCTTATCAGCTCCATGAAAGATGGTACCATTATCCGAGTAGATATCCGTCACTGATCCTCTTCTCCCAATTAGTCTCTTGATGGCCATTATTACAGAAGCTGTATCCAATGACCATGTAATTTCTATGTGTACAGCTCTAGTAGTCATACAGGTGAAGATAGCACCGTATCTTTTCTCGTGCCTTCTACCAACTGTCACATACAATGGGCCAAAGTAGTCCAAGCCAGTTTTCGTGAAAGGTTTTACAAATGCGGCCAACCTTGCTTCGGGAATCATTCCCATTTCTGGAGAAACTGGCTGTGCTCTCCTATTTTTACAAAACTGACAATTTCTCCATATTTTCTTGACACAATTTCTCAGTCTAGGTATCCAAAACTTTTGTCTAATCTCGTTCATAACATATTCATATCCATTATGCCTCGATTTCCGGTGGTAGTCCTCGATGAGTAGTTTCGTGAAAGCGTGTCTGGCATCTAAGATGATGAGGTTCATTGCCAAATCTTCATTATAAGCTTCTCCAGGTATCCTTCCCTTCATACACAAAATATCGTCTTTCATAAATGGTGATAACTTATAGATAATATTTTCTGTTCGGATTTCTTGTCCCTTTTTCAGGCTTACGATTTCTGCTGCATAGAATTTATTCTGAACTTCTTGGTACCAAAGTTTTTCTGATCTTTTTATTTCTGTCACAGATAAACAGTTTTTATTCTTCACGTCCTTCGTACAATTTTCAATGAATCTTCTCACCCAAGCAGTGGTTCGAACTAATTTCTCGTAAGATGAGAATCTTTCTATTTGGGGTAGAAACTCTGGTGTCTGATAATGATGCAAAACCAGCAGTGATTTCTTGATTTCTAACTCTTCTTTGGGAATATCCATATCTATACCATCTTCATCGGGCCAGTGAACTTCTTCCTTCTGTAGAAAATACGGACCGTCAAACCATCTTTGCGAAATCTTCGGTTCCTTGTTCAACCTAGTAGCTTCATCAGCAATATTCTCCTTGGTCGTAATCCAATGCCAACTATCTTTCGTCGTTAGATCTCGTATTTCACCAATCCTATGTGATACGAATATCTTATACTGGATGTTGTCAGCCCTTATCCAGTGTAGAACTGTCTTGGAGTCTGTCCAAAAATGAATGTCCTTTATATCTATTTCCAATTCCTCCAAAACCGTATGTGTCAATCGAGCCGCCAAAAGGGCAGCTTGCAGTTCCATTCTTGGGATTGATATACTTTTTAGTGGTGCTACTCTGGTCTTTGCAGCAACCAGGGATACTTCGATCTTTTTTTCTTTGTGGAGCCTCAAATAGACGACAGCAGCAAAAGCTCTTTCACTCGCATCACAAAATGAATGTATCTCTGCACTATCACAATCCTGCAAACTTATAGATTTTCCATAACATCTCGGTATTCTTATAGAGGGTATTAGTTTTTGTAGGTTGGAGACCCAAGGGCACCAAAAATCATTAAGACTGTGTGGTATTTCGTCATCCCATCCAATTTTCATTTTCCAAATTTCTTGAAGGAGAATCTTGATAGTTACTATAATGTTTCCTAAGAATCCCAGAGGGTCATAGACTGACATCGTGAACTTCAGAAGTTCCCTTTTTGTTGGAATTTTCTCTCCATTCAAAATATTCATATTTACTTTTCTGAAATTCAATAGAAATATGAAAACATCTTCCTCTGGCATCCACTGTAGTCCAAGTACCCTTTCTATACTGCTCTGAGTAAATTCAGTAAGATTTTTCATAGATTTCGATCTCAAATTCTCTGGTATACTCTCCAATACTTTTCTAGAGTTTGAAGTAAAGTTGCAAATCTCAAATCCTCCTCTTCTATGAACTTCTATAACGCTTTTTATCTGTTTTATAGCTTCGTCTTCTGTACATTTGCTATCTAAATAGTCGTCGACGTAATGTTTTTTTAGTATAGCTTTCGAGGCATCACGATACTCTTTCTCATGCTCTACAGCATTCTTGTTTTTAATGAATTGAGCTAAACATGGGGAACATGTTGCTCCGAACGTCATAACCATCATTTCATAGACTTCAGGATCCTTCTGTCTTTCGCGTCCCCTCCAGAAGAAGCGTTGGGCAGTTCGGTCTTCCTTTCTTATAACCACTTGGTGGAACATTTCCTTTATGTCCCCAGTGAATGCTATCTTGTTTTGTCGAAATGTTATAAGCACTCCAGTCAGTGGTCTCAGTAGGTCTGGGCCCTGTAATAGTTCGGTATTCAAACTCACTGACTTAGTTTTGGAAGCAGCATCGAATACAATCCTCAGTTTCTTCTTGTTTTCATTGAATACTCCGAAGTGTGGTAGGTACCAAAGTCTTCGGTTGTCTGTAGTGATTTCTTCTTCACGTAGTTTTCTCGCATATCCTTTCGTTACATAGTCAGCTATTTTCATACAGTATTCTTCTGCAAAGCGCGCATCTTTGTCCATTTTTCGTTCCATACAATATAATCTGCTAAGGGCGTTATTCCGGTTATCTGGGAACTTGATATCGTCGGTTCTCCACAGTAGACCTGTCTCAAATCTGAAACCAATTCTTTTCGTGGTGTCTTCCATTATCCTTTCGCACCTTGTTTCTTCCTTTGTTTTTGTCAATTTCTCGAGAATTCTAACTCCAAAAGACTCTGTGCTGAATGATGTTTTGACTAAACTGTGCAGTTCTGCATATTTTTCTTCATTGCAGATGTGATATAGAAATTCTTCTCGATTTGGAGTATCTACTTGCATCCTACCATGAACCGTCCAACCTAGCGGAGTTTCCGAGATGATTGGACCGTTATACTGCAGTTCTACTATTCTTCTTGGGTTAAGCAAATGGCATTGATCTTGGCCAATGAGAAGTAGCGGTCGTTCATTGTAGTACGGTTCGATGTGGTCCAAGAAAGGTGTATTTGAATATCTTCTTTTCAGTTCCCTGATATCTAGTGTTTGTCTTGGCAGTTTCATGTTCTTGATGGTTCTAACTCCATTCAATCGAAAATACTTGGAAGGATGTCGTGGATCGGATATGTCAAAATCTACCTTTTTTGAGTTGTCTTCTTGATGCGTTATACCGTTTGTCCATTGGTAGCATAGGGATTCTGTTTCACCAACTAGTTCCAATTTTTCAGCAAGATCAGCATCTATCAAGGATACTGTCGATCCATCGTCATAAAAGACATATATGAACATTTTCTTTTCCTGGTATTTTATTTCAACTGGCAGGATCTTCAGTAATACATTATAGTTATCATTTTTCGTCAAATTTACATGTTCTGTTCGAATTTCTTCAGGGTTTTCATATCCGTGAGGTGAATTCTTGCTCTTGTGGAGTAGAGGATGATGTAATCCGCTGCAATTATCGATTCCACAGCAAGTTTTCTTGAAACACTGATGCTTGAAGTGATTTGATCTGAGACAGCACATACATAACTTTTTATCTGTTACAATTTTCCATCTGTCATCTTCTGTCAGTTCTTTGAATTTTTCACAATCGTATAGCTGATGATTTTGTGTACATTTCGGGCAGTATTTCTTGACAATCTCCGTCTTTGGTCTGGATATCGATAAAACGGTGTCTCTGCGTGTATACGCTGAGGGACCTCTTCCTGAATTCTCCGCCCTCACCAACGGACTATCAATATAGCAGGAAATCTTGGCTTTTTCTTTCAACCATTCAGAAAATGTTTTCAGATTGATGTCCTTTGGATTCTTTATGAGACGCTCTCCCCAGTCGAGCCGAAGGAAGTATGGCAGCTTTCTCGATAATTCATCTAACAACTGCATGTTATTCATGTGAGACTCTGTATCGAGTACCTCTATAGTGGATGTTAAGTTCAGAACTGCATTCGAAAAATGAATTAGTGAATCTGTTCTTCCTTTTCCAGGTGATGCCACTTTCTTCGCCTTCTCTATCAACATGGAGATTATTATGTCAGGTCTTCCAAAATTCATTTCTAAAGATTCCATAATGACGTCCAAATTTCTAGAACTGATCAGCAGTGGTTTGACTATTTCTCTTGCACGACCACGAAGGCATTTCTGGAGTCTTATTAAATTTTCCTCTTCTGAAAATTGACAGGATTTTGTTGATCTTCTGAATTGTGATATAAATAGAGGCCATTCCTCCGGATCCCCATTGAACAAAGGTAGTTCTCTGATCGACTGTCGAGTAAAAAAGGTTTCTAGCTGTCTATTGACACCCTTTTCTGCAAATTTTTCACGATCTTTATCCGAATTATCGGGTATCATATATTCAGTGTGGTCGAATTTCAACTTATTTTCGTCAGATTTGGTACTTTTTTGTTCTGAAGAGTCTCGTTCATGTTCAATTTGATTGGTTTCTGGGATTCTTAACCAATTCTTCACTTTCTGAATACTGTCTATAGTACCTTCCTTGATATTCTCAGAGATACTAGATAATTTACTACCTGCGGTACTAAGTTGCACATTCAGCTCCATATCTATCAATTCTTTCTCTCGGAGATATCTACGTTCTTGTATTTTCAATTTTTCTTCTTCCATTTTTTCTTCTAGCGCAGCTTTTTTCCTAGCAGATTCCAAGCGTAGTTGTAAAATTTGTCTTTTAGATAAACTGGTGCACAATGATGAACTTTCTTTCCTGGAGCCTCCTATATTTTCAATGTGTGCTTCTGGAAATCCAACTATTTCCTCTGGTATCGGTAATTCTCTTCCAATTTCACCAGAAGGACTTCCTCCTTCACCACATATAATAATATCTGATTTTGCTTCCTTGTTTTTACCAGTTTCACTATTCTTATCATAGTGTACTTCCACTTGAATGATTGATTTTCCAGACATTTTCTGTATTCCTTAGGGCTTTTCTGACTTTCTCGAAGGACCAATATAAAAACTATATCTTTCTCTAAAGTAAATATCTCAATTTCAATCGTAGAATCTTTTTAATCTCTTGACTTTTTACAATCATAAATTCAAATCATAATTCTGACACTGTCATCATTCTTCTTTTTAACAATATACAAAGCGTATAGAAACGACAAATATAACAAAAATAGATAATCTTCCTCAACAATAAATATATATCCATTTTTGTATGTTCATAATTTATCTGAGAATATTCCTTTTCAACACTTGATTAACAATGTTCATAAAACCCTCATGGTTCCAAATTACTAATATAACATATGTTCTACTTAGTTCAGTCATTATAGACTTTGACCCGTGAATAATTTTTTAGTGTTTTTTTTTTCATAGGTGTCTCTGGGGGGTCACTGGGAGTGTAAATTCAAAATGGCGACCAAATCAAGCTTTTGCGTATGTTCGAAATATTTTCATTATCTCGTTTATTTTCAACTTTACGGAATAAAGGAAGAGGACTAAACTTGTGGAGAATCAAATTCTAAACAATTTTGGTTATCACGTTTTTGTTCCAAAAATCGATATTTTGGGAATTAAACCTGAAAAAAGCGACAAATTCAAAAGATTATCATTATCTCCAATGCTTCGCATTTTACGGCATAAATGAAGAGGTTATTCCGCGCAGGTAGCTTGTCTGTGTGTCGGTGTGAATTGACACTCCCAGTGACCCCCCCGAGACACCTATGGAAATAAAAAACACTAAAAAATTATTCACGGGTAAGGTCCGTTATTTGGATATAATGACTGGACTAACTCGTGACAATACACCTTGGTAGTAAAGAATATTAATACGGGACCTCATAGCCCTCGGCTGAAGCCTCGGGATATAATCTTGGTCCCTGGGTTATAATGATATTCTTCACAACCTTGGTGAATAAATAACTATTATGAACTTTAGGAGAGGTAAAACGTTAAAAATAACGGAAAAAATCAAATGCTAAACGGAAGGTACTCTACTTCTAAACCATCATCGAAGGAGCTGATTGTCACCATATCAACCACAGGGATTTAAAGTGCCCTTTGATCCCCTGAAGTGCATAAAATGATTAAAATAGACTTCCTCATTCTTACAACACTACCACCAGTAACAAGGTATCGTTTGCTGCAAAGGAAAAATTTTCTATACCTTGAGAGCTAATAATTTCGCTTTAATCTCCTCACTGACTTCTTCCAAATTTGTAACAGTGTCCATGGGAACGCCTTCCTCTATGACGATTGCATGCTCCAACGTCTTGAGAATCTGACTCACAAGCATATCTATCGCTTCAGGAACGATCCTGAAGCGGCAAGGTATGTCTGCTCTGAAAACTCCCGCTTCGAGAGCTTCTACATGACCCCCTACATAGGTCTCTTGCTGGAGTACATGTCCATCTCTGGTGAGTTTGTTCAGTTCGGTTTCTTCTTTATTAGGGTAAATAATGTTGGCGTGGAAAGCCTCTACCATGAGGAGAGATTCACACAATGTACCTTGAAAATATATTATTCGGTTTGTTTGGTTACAAAGATTGATATATATTTTATTTATAAGACTATCAGGTGTTTTACCATAAATGAAATATTGAAAGTATCTTGAGAATCGCTGGAAGGATTCAACTTTTTTTTTCTTCAGATCACTTGTACTCAAACATGCGACTTCATTATTTAAAAATAGAAGCCCCTGTACATTTGTAGATTTTCTGAATGCCGAGGAATTTTATTTATTCTTTATATTTATTTTTTCATTTTGGAAATAACCTTGCATGTCATTATATATATATGAATATAATAGTGATAAAGAATTTGTTTTTCATGAAAACATTATCAAGAAAGTTAACAACTTGTACATGATCATGTATCTAACTAAAAATTAGTTTAGTCACATTGAGAACAATTTACATAATAAATACATATGCAATATGCATAGCATCCAAAACTAACTATAAAAACGTGATATAATGTATATTCATGTATATTCATTCTCTACAATGTTTCACCACCAACCAAGCCGGCAAAGGTTCCGATAAAATACAGTTGATTTTCTTGTAAAAATATGTACAATATATGTGGATATAACATAAGTCCTATGTATAACATGTAATAAGCCCTCATGGGTCACAACTTGTGAGTACGGGAATGGTGAGTACGGGAATGGTGAACCCGAGGTACCCTAGCCGGATATTCACCAAACTTCAACTTGTCTTGGGTGATATCTTCTTCCCTCTTCCTTTTCCAATCTATCCTATCGACCTTCCTTGGCCAACTTCTCTTTTCCTCTTCCCTTCCAAGCGCAACCTCACCATCAAGTAGTGTGGGGAAGACAGACCGCGGCCGCTCTACAGCTGAAGCATTTTGGGACCATCTTTGCTATCTCCGGGCCAGATGGTACAATTATTTGTGGACATCTGTCGTCAGGATGGGGCAATTTGCTGATATCTGTCTGAACTTTTCGCCTTCTTCGTAGACGACAACAGGGATCGGAAGAGTAATCTTGAAGCTGAACGAAAAGGGTCTTTCAAATTGAAGTGGCCCCATGAGTCGTATATAGTAAAATTGATAACGGCATTTAGGTAAGATACAATGGGCAACTGACCTCAGTGTCGTCGGAGACATCAGTCAGACGAGCCTACAAACGGGGTGGAGTGTTTAGTAGGTATACACTGGAGTCAGGGGACTCCCACAGTATCAAATGGGGTAATAGACCCAAATGATGTCCATAAAGGATTTCAACCACCTTGACGAAAAAAAAACGTGTTTTCTTACATCCTGTTTATTCTTATTCTTATGACTTGCCTCCCCAGCTATGTTCTCTGCTAGCTAGTTTTCTCTCGAACAGGTCCTAGAACGGGGTTCGTTTCATAGCCAATATCAGCGAGTTGGTCAGGGTGAGCGATAGTGCCAGAGTTCGGATTGCTGCTATCATGTTCTCTCTAATTCATCGTTAATTGATGGTTAGTGGAAAATAAACGAAAAAACCACTATTCCGATAGTGCCAAAGGTTCCAGTCGATATAAAGTATGTCCATGAAAAGGATGTCTAGGATGGGGTAAAGTTGATGATAGTTTCTCCGAAACAAAACGTCGTACGGAAACGCTGTTTTGTATAGCTTAAAAAGTGGCACTGAGAAAGTGTCTTTTGTTTTCCTATATTTATTTAAATAACGTCAAAACAAAAGTAAAGACGATCCACATGATAGACATCCTTATATGTATTGTATTCACTGTATATCACTGAATGACGTTTTCAATACCGACAGAACTAGCTATAAGTATATCCATGTGTCTATTTTTTGTATTATAATGTTGTTACATGCATTCTTCTCATTTTTGTAACTGTTGTTCGGCGAAAAGTGCCTATCACTATAAATTGAAGTGGGTGTTAATACCATATTTATATTTTCCATCTACGGCTATAATTGATTTGACAGAAAATGTAACCTCTAGAATCGTATCTGACAAACAGGCGCTATCAGGGAAATTGGTTCACATTTGTTTTTTGTTTGTGCTTATTGGTCACATCATCAAAACAAACCGTTCAGAAGTGTTCAAGTTGTTGCCGTCAGGTGTTATTTTCTATCGCGATTACTCTTTAGAGGGCGTGAAAAGAGATATTCGAGGAACTAGGTAGAATCATTGGCGCCTGTTCCAAGTTTTCTGCGAATTTTCCCAACTCTGACTTTTGTAATGAGAAAGGAATGATTGGCAACATTGTTCGAAGTTGAGCAGTAATATCGCGGCATTTCACTAGTCTAAAATGTATCTTCGCTGGTGAAATGGTTACCACACATAACCTATATGGAATAAACGCCATATATTAAATTGATCATGTCTTTTGACATGAATCTTTTGATGATATTTTTTCTGTCATATCCTCATATCCCTGTTTGTATTTTCAATATGATGAGCAACCTTCTTGAAACAATATTGTAACGCCACTTAATTTTATTCAACTAGTATACAGGGTGTCCCCAAATTGCTGGGACAGAGCTACCACGTGTAATAGAGGTCAAAATAAGTTGATTGAATCCAATTTATTTATATACCAAATTGTACTATTTCTCCGTGAGAAGAGTTCAAAGGTTACAAAAAAAAACACATTTTTGTTTGCTGTTCAGAAATGAGTGAAACAAATCTAATGAAATTGTAGAAGGATTGAAAGTACCCTCACCCCTCACCCCCTGACATTTTTTCAGAACATTCTTAAGGGTGGTATAATACGGTTCTCAAATGTTTTAAACAAGAAGACAGATTAATTATCTTCATTTTGTTACTCTTGTAAATACTTCGTACTCCCCATATTTCCGAAGGAAATAAATGTTTTATTTAAAACTAGCTGTCTTGCATGGCTTCCTATGGTTGGTGTACCCATTTATTAAAAATAAGACATTTGTTGCAGTCGTTCTGACGTATCTACAGTACATATTTTTTTGGTATTTTTTTATATTTTTTTGGCTCACCCATAACTACTATTACACACTTTCACCTATTTCACATAACTCTTATTATATATATTTTTTTGTTATAAACATTAGGAAGAGTTGAGTTGTATTGTTATTATACTTACAGATATTCAATCCATAATCAATTCCGAGACCAGCACTTAGGTGCTGCTTTGGATAAACCTCAATCAGATACTGCATCACTGAACTTACATGTAATACTGATATATGTTGTTTTTCTCTTGCATTATCTGAATGAAGTTCAGTGAAAAAAAAATATATTTTCATTCTGGTGTACAATTCAATGAAAGATAAGTAGAAGTAGGGATACATTATACATGAGAGTTTGTGTTCAAGCTTTGAAAATGAATTAATGGATTTCTGTATATTTTGTCCATCTTGCCAAGAGATCTTCTTCTGTTTCAAGCACCTATGCCACAGGTCATACCCAACTACCCAGATACGAAAGTTTTGATGCCGCTCTTGATATTCAATGGCTTGCACAATTTTCATTATTTAGGACTGAAAATATTACATGTAGATTGCTATGTGTGGCCTACATAAATTACCCAGTATACTTATGAACCTAAAGGATTAGAATTACCTGTGAGCAGGCTAGATAATCGATAATCTCTCATTCCATTTCAGAAATTATTCACAATTAATACCATAAAATTTGGTGTGATGAATTAACTTGAAAGAGGTGATTGTAAATATTTCCTACTATGGAAACACATTCAAAAGCGGTGAATGGGCTTATATCACAAAAAAAATTTATTTCATAATTCGATAGAACTCACCCAAACTAGCTCACCACCGCAAACCGTTTCTTGCTGAGCTCCCTACGTTTTATAAAAAATTATTAAAATCACCGATTTTTCGGACCTCTGAAAACGAGGCGATAATGTGACGTCAAAACCCTATTACTGAAACAAGACTATTCCAGACAGAGATGAATGATACATGATTTCTGACAGAGTGAATCAGCGCGAGATCACAGTTGAAAGAATTAATATATCAGTTGCCTCAGTCTTCATCGGGCGTTTGGTATTTTCTTTTAACTATGGCGAGATGAGGTTTCTACGTCATAAGAGGGTCCGTTTTCAGAAGGTACTATTATTTATGTCCAAAAATAAAACATTCCAGTTAATTTTTCGATCGAATTATGTCGTCAATCATTATTTATGTATAAAAGGATCATTATAAACTTGGTTTGAGTTAAAAGTTCTACTGAGGTGTATACGCCCATTGTTGGAGTCTAATGCTTCCTTCATTTTCTACATGTAAAATATGGATATTGTCTTCAAAACGATGATTTTCTTTTTCAAAGAGCTTATTTGATGTTCGAAAATCGAAACATTCTACCTGTCTGACCAATAAATACAATATACAGGGTGTATCTAAATAACACCTAAAAAATTCAAGGGGTGATTCCTTGTGATATTTTAGGAAATTAAATTTATATAAAACATGTGTCCTAACTTGCTTCATTTTCGAGATACAGGGTATTAATATTCACATAAAAAAACTTTTTTCTATTCATTTCTCAATTGTCTTTTTATCAATTTCAATAAAACGTTGTGGTTTTGTTAATAGTAATATGGAGCTTTTTCTAGTGCAATCAGATTCGAAATAATATTTCCAGTGGCGTCACAGTGGGTGAATTTATCGATATTCATGGTGAATGTGACCGGTTTTTCTGAGTTTCAAATTTTTATTAGATTGAACTATTAAAATAACAACTTTTTTATCTACTGTGTTATTTTTGTGACTAGCTTAGTTTTTGAGGAAATAATAATACTCTGATTTGACTCCAAATTTTAATGTAGGTGTTTTCAAGACTTCCATTGAGATTACTCAATAACCCCAATATCCATACTGAATTTTGGCACCATTATACAGGGGGGTTATAAATGAAAAGTTAGGACACATGTTTATATGAATTTCATTTGCTAGAATATCACAAGGAAACAGTACCCCTTGAATTTTTTCAGTGTTATTTATATACACACTGTATAGGACAAAATATAAGATTCACTATGGATTTCCATGATAATAAATTATATATCAATGAGATATATAAAAACCTGTTTCCATGTCTGATATATGTTTGATGTGCATACCTAATAATCAGGAAATATATCATTTAGAAAAAAATCAGAAATAGGAATTACAAGAAATATAAATTGAATGAATTATGGTATGGAATTGTGGATTTTTGTGATGTTTACCTGATCCCTTTCTGAGAACTTCATCTGGCTCACAAGGAATGATGGTACACAGTGCAAAGATAAATGGATGGACATACTGCATGTAGAGGTAGTAGGTGGCAACTGCATCAGAAACTGAATAGTTTGACAGGACCTGAGGTTGGGAAGCAGCCAGTGGGCACATTTCTTCAGGGTCTAATTCTACAGGGTCATATCTAGGACAAATTGTTATCATCAATATGTTTGTTTGTTTGCAAAGCATTATTATTTTTAAGTTGAACAAAATGTGAATTACCAGGTCTGAAACATTTTTCAACAACAATTTCTTTTTGAGTATGATCAATGGCCAAATTCAAGTTTCCACAAAACACTGAAATTTTTTTTTTTCAATTTTTCCTAATCAGCAACATGCTGGTGACGGAACATTAATTGACATATGATTCAATAACAATTTCTGTAGTTACCATAATATACATTAGTATACATTAATATACTTATACACAAACAACAACAATTACAATCTCAAGTATATCATAGTACAGTAGTTTGTTGATTTATGTGCTGAATCAAGTTTATTTTAAATGAAGAATAGCTATCTATATTTTTCACAGGATTTGGCAAAGAGTTGGAAGTTTCTAGACATTTGTATATAAGATTATTTAGTTCCAAGTTTGTTCTTACATTTGATAGGTAAAAATTATTTTGATTTCTAGTCTCATATGTGTGAGTTTCGTTAACTAAGTTGAATTTAGTATTACATTTTTGTTGATTTTTTTGTATTTTGTAAGTTTATTTGCATTGTTCTATTTGTAATATTTGTTCCAAGGGCATTATTCCTGTTTCTTTATATATTTTCTCTGTAGCTATATCCAAATAAAAATTTAACTACCTTATTTTGAAGAGTCTGTATTTTCTTAGATTGTGTTGGTGGACATACACCCCAGGTTGTTATGAGATAGCGAAAAACTGACAGAAAGTATGCATTGTAAATCATAAGCCTATTTTGAGTATTCAGATAGCTACCACATCTATACAAAGAATTAAAAGAGAATATTATTGATTACCTCAGTTTTGCTTTGGCAACAGCTTTCAGATTTTGTGATCCTACAGGCAAATAAGAATCTCTTTTTACCCAACATAGGCAATCCATATGCATAGCTGGTCTGCAGACATAGATGCCTTCTTTGTTCCTAGAAAACCCTATACTCTGTTTCATATCCAAGTCATAAGAAGCAGCTCTGGCTTCAATAAATGGCCAATCAAAAAAATCACCATTATATGTAACAAAAATGTGTGGTCTGACTTCAAGGATGTGATTGAAGAATTTCTGAATTAGGCTCATCTCATTGGGTTCATTGAATATCACAAATCTGCCTTCAAATTCAGGTTTGGGTGTGTACTCAAAATCTTCAATGTCAGCAGATATAATTTCTCTATTAGTAATCAGGTAGCCTAAAAAGTGCAACTCACATTAAAATGTGTGATATAATAAAGATTAAAAATCAACTCACCCAAACCATCTATCATATATGAAATCATCATTATTTGATCTGTGGCTGAATCAGGAAATTTCAAGGGTAATTTAGTTGTTTCAATGTCAAAAGCTAAAACAATAGGCTCAGGGCGTTCAATAATATCACTTCTTAGTGTGATTGAAGGAGGCACATCTTTTCCCTTAGACTTCACAGTATACCATGACCCACAAAATATTTTCAGATCAATTGATACCCTAACATGGTATGGAACATCATATTCCCTATAAAAAAAAAAAACAATAAATTATGGGCAATAACTCATCTCTTGGGCTTGATCCTCACCTGATGTCCATGATGTTCTCCATTTGATCAGTATTTCTCTTACTGTGATGACCCACATCATTGGCAGAAATAGTCAAGGAGTTAGTCAACATCTCTGTATAATAAGAATTTGCATCAACTCTTTGTCTATTTTTGCGGACAACTTTCAGGATTTCTTTCCTTACTTTTATTAGATCAGTTTGATTCATAAAAGACAACTTAATATACTTTTGTTTCAGCCCAATAAGATGGTTAGGCTAGAATTATTTCATGAAACTAAATAATAAGTACATAAAATTAAAGATAACCAACCAAATCCAAATCCTCCTTAATGACCATTTCTATGTGGGCTATTGTGCCAGTATATTTTTTGGATAAGAATTCTATAACTTCTTGCAACAGTTCCCTCTTAGTTAAAATGTAAAAATATGGCATGAATGGGTATGCTACTTTGAAGCGTGTACCATCTTCTTCCATAAAATAAAAATCAACAGCAGCACATAGCCTTTTATCTTCATCAAGAATTTCAGTCTGGAACCAGAATATTGATGAGAAATCACTAATAATAACAGTTTTTGCTATGAATACCGAATGCATGTTGAGAAGAAATCCTGTTTGTTCTTTATGATCCTTGATGTGTTCAAAACCATATTGAAGATCAATATTTTCATTTTCAATGACTTGTCGAAGACGAAATTCTGAACTTTCTTCCCTGAAAGATAATAATAATTTCGATATTGTTCTTGCATGTTCTTTTACTTCTTGCAAGAGCATGTATTTGTACATACCTATTCACAGTTTCCGTACCATGATTTGATGGTTCTGCTTTTTCAGGTCTTTCTGGTCTAAATTTTCCTGAATTTTGTAAAACCATTTTATAAGATTCCCCTGTATTTCAGTATCCTATATATTGTCGTTTTTGAAAACAAAAACTTTGAAAAAATGAAAACAAACTTAACCTCTCAAATGAAGTGTCATTACTTTTCCCGCCCCCGTCTCTTTTTGAAATTTACCATAGATTCGTCCACAACCAATCAGAACGAAGTTCGGTTTCAAAACAAAATAATGACGTCACACCGTATGCCGCACGTTCAATGTTCTATGAAAAAAGAACAAATAACCTGTCAACTATGAAATGTCAAAAATTTTCTGGTTCCGTAAATCAATCCGTAAATACCGTAACCGTCACCCGTAACAGAAAATAGTTCTCACGATGTTCTCTGAACATAACAGGATATTCCTTTTCGTGGAAACAAAAACATGAAAAAAAACGCATATTAAGCACGTAGTGGAGAGTTACACCGTTACCATCGAAACTGCAGGGCCTGCAGGCTCCGTGGTGAGGCCTAACCATCGGCTCGAAACAACATGCGCTTATGGCGCTATTAGGCGACCACGTATTTCAATTTTAGTTTTAGGTCATTATTGCGCCAATTTTAATGTTTTTTCGAAGGACTTCCGGTTAAAACAGGATACCAGTCGTCAACTGAGCCCTTCTTCTCATCCCATTCGATTTTATTATGGAAAAACGAAGTTTCAAAGCAAAATCCAGAATAAAACACAAATACCCACCTACAGCAACCCATTCGAATTAAATATATTGGCGAAAATGGTAGTGATTCAATCTCATTAGAGGTAAACCTCACACCTACTTATACAGGGACCGCAGAACATGAGCTTATCGTGAGATTGATAGAAAGGGCTTCCCTGGGGCTGCAGCTATAAGCATGTTGTGGTCATATGAAATATCTCCTGGTTTTGGTATGGAATGTATGATACCTAACCCCCACCATGCGCCGACCTCCTTTGCAGAGAGGGTTTATAAACGCCGAGTTGATACTCTCCCCTCGTAAGGGTACCTGTCGTGTTTCCATAGAGACATTAGGGTGAATATATGTCTATCTGTTTGCTTGAGAATGTATCTGGAAAGGAATTCAATATATCGCCTTCCGTACGAATATAAGGATCAGAATTCTGAAAAGTATACTCTGGTCAGTTCCCTTTGCGGATTTTCTATTCGGTCCGTTTTGACTGGATGGTTTTCTCCAATTTATTGACAAGTATCAAACACTTTTCTTTTCGGATCTGCAACTAAACATCACTTATCAGAAAGTCCATGAGAATTAAAACTGATGTTGAATCTGAAACATACCTGAATAATATTTCCAACAACCGTAACTGGATCGCTACATATTCGCTCACATTCCGAAAAAAGGTTTTCCCAGTAAACATCTTCCACATTTTCAATTTTGTAAGGAACATGAATGCCAAACAATGTGCTGCTCGGATCTAAAACTAAGCATCAATTTGAAATTCGAATCGTGACACTTACATAGAATATAAATCTACGGAGTCTGAATATTTGTTTTCAACATGCGTAACTAAAACGCGATATATTTTTATGATTATTCATCAATTCATCAACTCTCTCAATGCAGACGAGGTAGGCAGATAAACAACGATTTCCTCTTCAATGAAAAACACTGTATATACCTAACCCACCAAGCATCGACCTCCTTTGCAGAGAGGGTTTATGAACGCCGAGTTGATACTCTCCCCTCGTAAGGGTACCTGTCGTGTTTCCATAGAGACATAAAGGTGAATATCTGTCTATCTGTTTGCTTGAGAATGTATCTGGAAAGGAATTCAATATATCGCCTTCCGTACGAATATAAGGATCAGAATTCTGAAAAGTATACTCTGGTAAGTTCTCTTTGCGGATTTTCTATTCGGTCCGACTTGACTGGATGGTTTCCTCCAATTTATTGCCAAGTTTCAAACACTGCTTTTCGGATCTGCAACTAAACATCACATATCAGAAACTCCATGAGAATTGAATTTGATGTTGAATCTGAAACATACCTCAATAATATTTCCAATGACCGTAACTGTAATGCTTTATATTCGCTTTCCTTCCGAATAGTGGTTTTCCCAGTAGACATCTGCTACATTTTGAATTTCGTGGGTTATAATAAGGACCATGAATGCCAAACAGTGTGCTGCTCGGATCTAACACTCAATTTGAAATTTGAATCGTGAGACGTACATAGAATATGAAACTATCAAGCCTGAATATTGTTTTCAACATTCGTAACTAAAACGCGATATATTTTTTTGAATATTATAGGGATTCCCTTTCGTGCGCTCCAAGCGATAAAAAAAAATATACCTAACCCACCATGCGCCGACCTCCTCCTAGGTTCGTCTTGACTGGATGGGTTTCTTCGACTTAGTGGCAAGTATCAAACACTTTGCTTTCTGTCTGATTGCTTGTTAATCTGGAAGAGAAATTCGATTTAGACTAAATTCTTGCTGCATCACCGAAGTTTCCGCAATATTTTCATAATTTCGTATTATTCGACTGCTGAATAACCCATTGATTCGAAGACCGACAGAGATGTCAAAAAATGCTTGTTTTGTTTTCATGGTAATGTTGTAAATGATAGGACTGATAGAGTGAGCCAAAATAATGTTGGTACTTCATATAAAAAAAAGTATATCGCGCTCCGTTTCGGAGATATTGAAGTTGAAAGTAAAGATGGAAATATGAGGAAAACTTGAGAGAATTTCTCTCTACTCACCAGCGTGAAAAATGCCATGCTTTGATCAAACGATACGAAAAACCAGAACAGCACACGATCGCAGGAACACAAAAAAAAATTCTTGCACTTATTTTTAAATGAAAACTCCGTTTGGAACGATGAATGCGTATTTTTCAATTGCGATCACAAAATTCAACTGTACGTGATGACATCTAATATAAGACTGTCTTGATTCACCACCTGGTCTCGAATGAATAACTAATAGGTTGAATCATGCTGCTAACCGATTAATCTCCGAACAAATGAGTTATCTATGACTAATGACAATAATGAAATTTTACAGGGGGCACAGATATACAGGGTGTTTCATAATTGAATGCTGATCCTAAAGGGCGATAATCCTTGGGTGATTTTAAGCAAAATTCTTCATGTGAACATATGTCCGTAACAGCTTCGTTTCTGAGATACAGGATGTTGAAATTTAACAAAAAAATCAGTTATTCCCCAATATCTCTGAAATCACTCTGGCTTTTTTCTTCATTACAAATACTTGAAAATAGTTACCATGAAATTATAAAAATATTGCTTAGATCTTTTGGTTACCACCAACCAAAAATCGAATAGGGACAAGGAAATGAATGCATTTTATTTTCTAACTCAAAAACCGTTCGCCGGAAGAAAAAAAGACAAGAGACCATTTTTATGAGAAGATAGAGGATAATTACAAAAATAATATTTATTTGGAAAAAGGACAGTGGCGTATCATTATTTCGATGAAAAATATGACAGGGTATGTTAACAGGGACGCCACTGATGGAAATTAAGAAATCCTTCATTATGGAAAAAATGTATTTCTATTCATACTTGGCATGTACCAAACTTGAAGAAAAAAGCCAGAGCGGTTTCAGAGATATTGAGGAATAACTGATTTTTTTGTTAAATTTCAACATCCTGTATCTCAGAAACGAAGCTGTTACGGACCTATGTTCACATGAAGAATTTTTCTTAAAATCATCCAAGGATTATCGCCTTTTAGGATCAGCATTCAATTATGAAACACCCTGTATAATTTTGGCAAAAACCTTATACTGGGTATAACAGGATCATGGTACACACCCTTTTTCTTTTTTAGTTTTGAAGATGTGATTGGAATTTGGAATGACCAATTAACTTAGTAAACGTCATGTTTTTACATAAATAAGTTGCATTTGTCACTTCCGGTTTCACCGCGGAAATGATAATATACTTTTGATTTTCAAATGCAACACCCTGTATATCATTGCATTTTCGAATTCTGCATCACTGAATTCAATGATACCTTATGAGTGACATTTCAAACTTCAACAGTGATTTCAATTATATTTTCTGATTTTCCAATTGAATGTACCATGACTATTCTCATCAAGTCTGACGTATTCATATCGATATTATTATTATTATTATTAATGAATCTGAAACACCCTGTGTAGGCAAAAGGTATTTTTCCATAAAGATATTTCGAATCGTCTTATTTTCTTCTGGTTTGCTCTTTTCGCATTATTATCTTCTGAAAAAATATAGTTCTGAACGGAAAGCACGAAAATCAGAAGAAATTTTAGAGAATCTCGATTCACTCACCTGCGTGAAAAATGTGAAGATTTGATGAAACTGAATTGTATGAGGAACACAAAAACACAATACTTGCACTCATTTTCAAGTGAACACTCCGTTTGGAAAGATAAATAATTCCTTTCGCGTATTTTTCAATTGCGATCACAAATTTCGACCGTACGTGATGACATCTAATATAAGACTGTCTTGATTCACCACCTCTGGTCTCGAATGAATGACTAATAGGTTGAATCATGCTGCTATAACCGATTAATCTCCGAACAAATGAGTTATCTATGACTAATGACGATAATGAAATTATACAGGGGGAACAGATATATAGTATAGTGGGTTATGGAGTTTCCAAGTTTTACTTTAACGATTATTATGTCTAATTTACTATACAGGGTATGTATCACGACGAGCTCACACTATCTGTATATCGAGAATCATTCGGGAGACATTCATGAAAATATGCATGCTCATATTTTAGAATACGCTCTCTTCATTTAAAATATTTTCAGCAATGCATTGTTGCCGCTTCTATCAAAAATTAGCTACAACTTTGTTATTCCAAATAGAATGCTCTGTATTTTTATTCTTCCTGAAGAGCTGATTTCATCGATGCATCACACTTGGGGTCTATCGGAAATGATTACAGAGATAGGGTGTTCAAAATCGAGATTTTTCAACTTTAAGTTTTGTTTCTGGCGAAACTATTCATTATCTGCCAAAACGGCTCACATGTCCCTATCTCAACTTTTGATTTACTATTTAAATGCCAGTATTGTATAACTTCTGTCCATTGTCTACTGAAT